CATCTTGAACTGTCTGCACCGCGCCTCTTAGGCAAGCGACTCGCGCCGAGACTCTATTGCGGATGCCTTGTGGATGCCACGCTGGCAGTTCCCGCTAATTTGTAGCCGTCTGCGGAGAGTAGACGCGCGGCAGGTTTTAAATTCTTGGGGCGTACACCAAAGCGGAAGCCAACGAGAAGCCAAAATATGTACAGAAAAAAAAAATAAAAATAAAAACCTGGTTGACTACTTTCCTGAATGAATAATGAGGCGGGCGTTGCAGTTGGGCCAGGCTAAATTCCACTCAATAGCGACTCCAATGAAAGATTTAAAGGAATAAAATAATGGCTGAGCAGAAAAATTGGCGTTTTAACAAGTTTATCTATTCAACAATGTGGAGGAGCATTTTTCTTATTTAAGAAAACTAATCTATACATATGAAACTGACATTTTCACGAGAAATTCCACCTGCATGTGTGGAAAAATCGTGAAAAAACGTTGCATGCAGTTTTTTGCTTAGCATCCGATCGGCCTTTAAATCATTTTCAAAGATCTTTGTGCGAATTTATGTGATACGTTCTGCAAATGCGGGTGAAAGACTTAATAAACGAAAGTTTATTCTTCAGCTTCAAGACTCTCATTGCAAAACCAAAAAGATCGGAAAGCTCGGATTCCAAAAATTGTTTCTTTATTCGATGCACTAAGAACACTAAATAGAAGTGGAGATCAATATGGTTAGACAACAATTTTCCACGGCCGCATACTTAGTAGAAAGATTATATCTAAAATTTGTAGCACAAAACGTTATACGGGCAAGGCCGGGCAATACGCGCTAGTTTTATATAAAAGAAGTACTATTTGTAAGAATTTATTGCACTTATCTTTGAAAATAGTTATATTTTATTATATATTAATGAATATTATTCTAGGTTTAAATAAAACTATTTTAATATTTGGTCCTTTACTTAGGATTTGTTAATTTTTGTTAAGCAAAAATGTTTTTTTTTTTTATAAAACAAACATGTTTTCGATGAATAATCCCTGTGTCAACTAATTATTTAGTGTTCTGTTCCAAGAAGTATACACAATTTTAAGATTGCTGAAAACCCAGATGATGCTCTTAAAAGTTACAAATGCCTCGGTATGACCTTCGCAAGCGCATAAGAGGATTGAGTTGAAGTATATAAATATGCCTAGCCTAGCCTTAAGGAAATGCGGAAGTCCGTTCGTCTGCCTATCTGCCACGTACTTGTATCTATGAGATGAATGAAAAAACTACAAGCCGCAACACATGACAGAACAAAAGAATATAATACAAATATAAACAACAATGACAACAATAAACAACAACAGAGTGGTCGACACCTGTTTAAAGTCGTTGCAGTTCTTGAAGTTCTTTGAGCTCGTTCCATGTGCGTTTGCATTGCCTCACCTCAGCTCACCTGAATTGTTTACTAAGGCCTGGCTGCGCGACCCGACAATGAACTGTCGCCCTGTCAACGTGCCCGACGTAGCCGACTTGGCATTAGACATGCCTTCGAGTTTTCCCTTTTAAAGCGAACTAATTACCAATACATGTACATTCCAGGCACATTTCCATTGATGGTGCATTGAACCAAAGGCAGGTGTTGCATGCCAACATTTGGCCTAGTTAGCTGACGACTGCTTATTTCCATTTCAAGTGGATCTCCAATTATAACTCAATTGAAGATGTCATCAGGTCTGTCTATGCGGTCTCTAAACAGCTTACACTCTGCGCCTCTTCTCTTGTTTATTGAATGCTGCTCAAGCTTAAAAAAGCGGACACGCTTTTTTTTCCTCGCCGAGGCAATTGTTTTTGTTATTGCTCTTTCGCTTTTTTGGCAACAACAATAAACTACAACTGGCACGAGTTCTCGCTTTGGCTTGTTTATAAACAAAAAAAAGCAAAAAGCAAAATTAAATCTTCTCAACTCGTTTGCCTTGAATTGCATCGAATTGAAGTTCAAATGCGGCAAAATGTTTAATTATAATTTTAGCTGCGATTTTTTGCCTCGCCATTTTTTGCGTTTACTTATGTTCTGCGAAAACGTAATAAATTATATATTTTATTTATATTATAAACGAATAATTTATGGAATGTTGATCAAAGTTCAAAGATGTAGCGCTTTTTTCTTGATTCTTTCTTGTTCAGAACTCAAACTTGTTCTTGAATACCATTAAAACAAAATTTGAATTAACTTAAGTTTTTGTAACCTATATATTTGGTTTATGTGCATATCATTCGGTTCGGGTTTTGTTTTTTATATAGAAAATATTTTGTCTGATCTAAACTAATAATAATAATTATAATTTAGCCAGGCTTGCAACGCTAAAAAGGACATTCGATCTAAGCTAACAATATTGTTTCCAATTAGACTTGCAACGCTTTAAAGCGCATGCGTAATTGTGCAGGGTATTCCACTTCAATACCCTCTAAATGTTGCTTGATGATGAATCAACTGACAAAGGGTCAAGCCCAAAAGAAACTCCAAGCTGCAAATGCAGAAGTAAAACCCAGAAGCCAAAAGACAAACAAGTATCCAAAATAAAAAGAGAGAAACAACAACTACAAAACATGGCCAAGCCGCATAACTGTGCCAAGGCCCGGCAACAACAACAACAACGAACAACAACAACAACAATGAACAAATTTTGGGCAGCGAAAATATGCAAAGTGCACAGCAAAGCAGAACCGTTAGGTGCGCTTAACGTGCGAAAGAGATGGATATAGAGAAGTTGAAAGTACGGGCGAGACGTGGAGTGGGGGCAGCTGTAATTTTAGAGCGCCAAGCAATGTTAAACGGGGGCCAAATGGACTTGAGGAAAAATAAGAAAAACTATCAAATTACAATGCATAACGCAAAAGAAGAAGAAGAAGAGGAAACAAATAAGACAAAAAGTGATGCAATGAAAAGCAACAGCAACAGGATGAACGCAGCTGCTGCTGCTGCTTCGGCTGCTGCATCTTTGAGTGGGTTTCGCATTACCAAAACGCAGCCTCAAGTGTCGCATCGCCATGTCCTAGGCCTGTTCGTTTCCTGTTGCACGCAGGTGGCCGTAACGAAGGCAACAACAACAACAACAACAAACGGAAGTACTCGTACTTGCGCTTATTCTTGCCCCCACCCCGCCCTCGCCGACTGTGATTGCTGCTTGATAAAGAAGTTGCAATCGCAATCTCCGCAAATGAATTAAAAGCAGCAACCGCTGAAAATAGAGTTAGCCCGACTAGAAAATACCCTGTAAGCAAAACTGTAATGCATGATCATGATAGCGATCTGTAAGCGTGAAAGCCTTAACTGTACTTTGTAAGATAAAAGATGCCTATTACATACAATATATACCCCTCACATCTAAACACGTATAGGGTATTTTAAAAAAAACTTCCTCAAAAGCCCAAACCAAGCCAGAGAAAACAATAAACCAAACAAAAAGCGTCGATGCCGACGTCAGCGATGGCGCCAACTGGCACAACATGGCTAAGCCAACAACAACAACAGCAACAACAACAACAACAACAAAAAGCAAATACGAATTTCGCATTTGTGCAAATGTTACAACTAAAACTCGTATACAACTGTAACTAAAACTAAAACTAAGACAAGTCATTTACTTAATTGCGTGTGCAGCAAAACAAAAACCAAGTGAAAACTGTGCAGCCGACGGCGCAATACTCTGTACACAAAGAAAAAACAGCAATTGTGGTAGTTACTCTAAAACTGTGACTTCAGAACACTCTTCTTTCTTAACTGTAAAATACATTATAAAACTTTTAAATATTTTGATTTATGTAATATTCTTCACAAATGAAATATTCAATATTTTTACATTGTGAACAGAGTATTAAGACGCCGACAAAATGAAATGCATTAAACACCAATGCAGCCCCAACCGCTTACAGTTTGAGAATCAATAACAGTTATAACATTGCGTGTGAAAGAAAGACATTCCAAGAAAAGAAATAACAAAAAGCAAAAGAATGTTAGCCTTTTTTTTTTTTTTTTTTGATTAACATAAGTATGTTAAAATAAATACACCAACAAATCGAAAAATGTTAATCGTGTGACAGATGAACGTACAGCTGGACGGCATGACAAACTCTTAGGCTCTCATGCCCTGACTAATGAGATCTACCGCTAATGTGGCCAAATAGAGAACAATCGACAGCTGCTGTTCCAAATTATTTAAAACAGTTAAAACGCACCTGTTAAAACTGTTGTGCAAAATATTTATCTAAATTTCTTTTTCGTTGCGTTTGTGCGTAGATATAACCGTTAAACGTAGCAGAATATGAAATGCATTTTTGTAAAAGCACACACACATACACACAGAGAGATCACATACAGTAGAGAAGAAGCAACAGTTAGATTTCTTGTTGTTGTTGCGCACCTTTTTCTTGATCTGCTGTTTCTGCTGCTGCGTCCGACGAACTTTGTAGAACAGGTAGTTGAGAAATGTTGTTGAATTTTATATATATTTTGAATAATTGCTGCGTTTTATTTTGTACTACTCGTGTGTTGGCCAAAACGTTGCAGTTTGTGCAATTGTTTACTGCACTTTCACTTGGCGCGCGGGCCGTGTTTATATATTTAACACTTTGCGGCTTTTTATATGAAAACACAAACGCTTGGGTTTCGTATTTTTACGCGTGCGTAACGTTGGCAACGAGTTTGCATACCATTAGGTTGTGATTTTGTTGCTTCACAAACACACGCACACCGGAACATAGGCACAGGCAGAGGCATAGGCGAGGAAACGATACGGAACGACGTAATTTACCCGCGCGCACATCCGAACCGCACAAAATATAAAACGAAAATACTGAAGTACCTGACCATTATGACCGCATTTGATAATCAGCAAAATGCCAAACTATCGATAATTCCGATAGCACCAAGTACAAATACTAAAAATGTTAATTAACATGGTAATAGCATTATGTTAAGCCCATTTTTAGTGCTAAGCTCAATTGGCGCGCAAATTTGAAAAGTAAATAGGGCAACATGTTCAACAATTTTAATCATAAGCACGATGTACTACAGGCGATTTAAGTAATTTAAGACTATACTAAAAACAATTGCTAGGATTTTACACCGGACTAGTTAGAGTTTTCCATCTTGTCCTCTGACGGGACAGTGGCATAACTATCATCATCATCCTCTTGATCCTCCACACTCTGTTCACCATCTTCATCAGTAGTATCGCTTGAGTCCTCAGATTTTGTGGTTATGCTATTGCTGCTGCTGCTGCTGCCGCTGTTGGCGGTGTTGAGAGTAGCGTTGGAGCTGCTGGAGCTGCTGGAGCCAGTGGAGCTATTGGAGCCAGTAGAGCTGGCGGCATTGGCCATCATAATCGCTTTGGTAGCCGCATTGTTACGGTTGGGGGCGGAGTTGACTGCAACATTGACCACACTGGGAGATTTGCTATTAAAGGAGCTGGAAGCCGCTTTATAGTAGGCACTGTTGGCCACACTGCTGAGCATTTCCTGCTGTCTATGAGCCGCATTCACTTGGCTTGCAATGGAAGCCAAAGCGCTGGGATTCGAGTTACCATACTTAAAGCCAGAGATGCTATTTACCGCACTCAATGAGGTGGGCGCTGCAAAGCCCATGACAGGACTGCGCCGGTCTCGCTGGTCCGACCGATTCATAGAAGCAGTCATATTTGAATCACGAAAGCCAATTTTGGGCACATTGAATGTGTCCAATTTAAATGTATGCCGGGAGGGGTTTCGATTAATGGACTTTTCCACACGCATCGTCTGCACGGGCACAATAGGTCGACGCATAACCCGGATAGGCGGTGCACCCACCTTGGCAGTTGACTCTCCGGTGATCGCATCCCCAGAATCGCCACTAATGTTCGCGGCGGTGCCATGGCTGGGTTCACAGCGCTGCTCGAAGTGCGGCATGCTGTGGGGATGGGCGTCCGGATGAAGTACGCCTTTGGCCAGACGCTGGCTAGCCGTTATTCTGGAGTGGTCCGGCAGTGGCGGCGGCACATACACGGATGGCGGCAGAATGGCATTGACGCCCAGGCCCAGACGCTGCTTGATCTCGCACATGGTCTGTTGGGCAGCCTTGCGCGCCTTCTCAGAGCCCATCTCTAGCATGTAGATAAGTTCGTTGCGATTTGTCAAATTTAGGTTAATCTTTTCGCGTATGGGCCGCAAATGCTCAATGATCGCCTCGGCCACGCGCTCCTTATACTTGGCCGTGTCCAATTGTTTGGCCTCCTCCACCACCGTCGCAATGTCCACGCCGGTAACTTGAGCATGAATATTGACCAGATTACTGACTCCGGGCCGTATTTTGGGACTGTACGAGATGTCCGAAGTGAAATCGGTGACGGCCTTCTTAATCTTCTCCTTGATTTGATCGGGTGTATCGCTTAAGTTAATGGTGCCTTTGGGATTCTGGTCAGATTTCGACATCTTCTTGGATGGTTCGCGCAAAGACAGTATACGGGAGCCATCGTTTTCCTCAATCATTGGGGTGCAAACCGGAAACATTTCACCATAGCGCGTATTAAAGTTGCGCGCCAAATGCTGTGCCAGTTGTATATGTTGCAGCTGATCGATTCCAACGGGCACATGAGTAGCTCTGCGGGCAACAAAATGGAATTAACCAAAATCCGTCAAAGCCTCCCATGCACTGGGCAAGCACTTACTTGTAGAGCATAATGTCTGCCGCCTGCAGCACCGGATAGACAAACAAGCCGAGGGGCACATCCCGAACCATACGCGACTTTTCCTTGAACTGCGGCAGCTGGGCCAAGCGCGGCATTGTGGTCAGCGAGTTGAGTATCCAGTTAAGTTCGCTGTGCTCCATCACGGCGGACTGCACGAACAGCGTGCTTTGGGCGGGATCAACGCCGCAGGCGAGCAGCGTGGCGGCCATCGTGAAGATGTTCTCTCGCAGCAGAGGCGGGTTATGCGGCATTGTAATCGAATGCATGTCAACGATGCAAATGGTTACATTTTCACGGGATTTCTGCAGCTGCGTCCATTTGCGCACCGCGCCCAAATAGTTGCCCAGATGCAGTGAGCCCGTTGGCTGAATGCCGCTGAAGATTTTCCGCGGCCAGCGTTGATTCTGCTGCAATGCGAGGCGATTCAAGCTATTTTCTGTTACATCATAGGCAACATGCCACTCACCGCAGGGCCCTGGATCTGGTCCTGGTCGACCGTTTGCGACTTCTTCTGTAACTTACTAGCTATGCAGGACTGACTCGTGGGCGGTGTGGGCATTCGTTCCCTGGGAGCAGTTCCGGATGATTGGATTTGACTGGCATTTAGCAAACGCTTGGCCAACGACATTCGACGTGTGACACGCGTTAGACGGTTGGCACGATTTACATTAAATTTACCAACGCGAAACATTGCAAGTGTTCTTAATTTTGTACTTTTATCTAGTCGGATTTGTTTGTAATACAAAAAAATGGAAAAATAATTGACGCTGGATAAAACAAAATAACACCTTGACTCTGCTGCTAAATTTTGACAACACTTGTTTAAAACTGAGCATATGATAGGAGTGACCATACTGACTATGTATTTACAAATTTCTGTTTAGTATTTCGATATATCGAGCAGCTGTGCTTACGATATTTCAACAAATATCGATAATAAATTACGAATAGCGATAGTTGTTGGCAATAGGCGCGCACATCATTTAAAACGCACTTTTATTCTAAACATATTAAACAGGTCGTCAACTACATAGTATTGTTTTGTATTCTATATATTGATCGGAGATGTTTCGTTAGAGTTGCACATTGAGAATTTCAAACAAGTGTAGAGGTTTATATAGCGAATTCCGTTAGCCCATAAGCAGCAAGGAAAGTGCAATGGGATTGAATCTAGAAATTTATAGGCTTTCCAAATGCGGCCGCCACGTTGGCCTCACGTAATGCCTCAGCGCAGGTCTGCAGGAAAGAACAGAAAGAATAATTACAATCCAATTGTTATAGCATTGATAATTCTTCGAGCTTACCGGATGCGCATGACAGACACGAGCAATATCCTCCGACGAAGCTCCATACTCCATGGCCAGAACGGCCTCATTGATAAGCTCGCCGGCGACGGGGCCAATGATGTGCGTGCCCAGCACGCGGTCCGTTGCCTTATCAGCCAGCACTTTGACGAAGCCATCGGTTTCGTTGTTCGTCTTAGCACGAGAGTTCGCCAGGAAGGGGAACTTGCCGACTTTGTAGGCAACACCCTCTTGCTTAAGTGCCTCCTCTGATTTGCCAACCCACGCGACCTCAGGGTGTGTATAGACCACGCTGGGCACGCAATTGTAGTCAATGTGCACGTGTCCGCCTTGGATGCCCTCAATGGTGATCAAACCCTCATCCTCGGCCTTGTGCGCCAACATTGGTCCATGAATGCAATCGCCAATGGCGTAAATGTTCGGCACCACCGTCTGGAAGGTGGCATTGACGGGAATACGACCGCGATCGTCCTTAACAATGCCTACAGCCTCCAGACCAAGACCTTCTGTGTAGGGGCGACGTCCCACGCTCACCAACAGGGTGTCACACTGAATCTCTTCCTTGGCACCAGACTTGGCATCCTCCACAGAGACTGTGACACTGTTACCGCTGCGCGTGGCACCCATCACTTTGGTGCCCAGCTTGAACTTGAGCCCCTGCTTGGTGAGCACCTTCTGGAAGGTCTTGGAAACCTCGTTGTCAATACCAACGCCGCCAATGGTGTCCATGAATTCAATGGCAGTAACCTCAGCGCCCAGACGCGACCACACTGAGCCGAGCTCCAAGCCAATAACTCCAGCACCAATCACGACCATATGCTTGGGCACTTGGGCTAGCTTGAGGGCGCCAGTGCTGCTCACAATTACCTCCTCATCAATCTGCAAAGTGCGAATGTTCTTAGAGTCCACACTGGACAAGACAACTGCCGGTTTTCATGCGCTTACAGTGATTCCCGGGAATGGAGTAACCTCAGAGCCGGTGGCAATCAGTATATTCTTGGTCTTAACGGTCTCAGTGGTGCCGTCGTTCTTCGTCACCTTCACCTCATTGGGATTGACAATGCTGCCGAAACCCGTCAGCTGTGTGACTTTATTTTTCTTAAAAAGCATGGCAATGCCGCCGGTGAGCGCTTTCACCGCATTCGTCTTCTGGCCCATGAGCTTCTCCAGATCGAGTGAGACAGTGCCGCAGTTAATGCCGCGATTGGCCAAATCGCCTGAATGGGCCATGTGATAGTAGTGTGAATTGTTTAACAAAGCTTTCGAGGGAATGCAGCCCACATTCAGACAGGTGCCGCCCAGAGTAGCCTCCTTCTCTACGCTGACGGCCTTCATGCCCATCTGGGCAGCCTTAATGGCAGCCACATAGCCTCCGGGTCCAGAGCCAATCACTACAATATCCGCCTCATGTGTGCTGGAGTAGCATCGAGAATTTAATGCACCCAGAATAGCGGCATTGGTGCGCAGCGGTGTCTAAAAGGGAAAGAAGGGATTAAACTGTAATGCAGATGGTCACACTTGGTTTCCTTTTTTTTTTTAATGTTTGTTGTGTTTACGCTAATCGATGGCACTTAACACACATATTTTGATTATAATTTGGCTTTATATCAACTGTGTCAGCTGATAATTGGCCTAATGAACGACCTTGACACTGGAGTACGCACTGTTTTTGACGTCACAACGATCGACTAATGCATTTAATGCCAAAGTTATGACCTATTTAGGTTAGAATTGCATAACCCCCCTCGAGAGTACGTTTGATATTGAAGCCATTTGTGTGTTTGTACCTTGGCTACAGCTGTCAGAGTTCTGCGTAATGTCGACTGCATTGCTGGTCAATTGGTAGAATATGTTGCCCTATAAATCAAAAACACTAATGTGACGTTATTTTCAATGTTCCACTGAAAATACACGATACTGCGCTAGAACACGGCAAACTGCGGATGATGACTGGCCAATATATCGATAGTGGCTGGGTTTCGATGACATTATTAATCGAGAATGCGTTTATTCTTTTAAGCGCCTTTGGTATTTATTTCGTCACGTTCATGGTATATATTTAGTTATTCGCTGGCTGGGCACACTTGTACGCGAACACAACAAGATGGCGAGAGTCTCGTCTGCAAATTGAATAGAAAAAATCGCAATAAAACGTGAAAAATAATTGATTAAATATACATAAAAGTGTCAAGCGGCCGCAATAACAAGTTGAGCGTATATTGCTCGCTTTTTGTGTATGCGGCAGCATCCGATAGCAAGTTGCGAAAGTTGCTACGCTGCCTGGCCTTGTTGTTGCTGCTGCTGCTGCTGCTTCTACTTTGTTGTTGTTGTTGTTGTCAGTGTGAGTGTGTGCCTAACTAACTGACTGTGTCCTAGCTCCTCGGCCTGTGGCTCTGCCGTTTAGCCGTAAAATGATGAACAACTACGGCAACATAATGATGGACTCACCCAGATCCTCACCACACGGCGGTCGATCGCCTGTGGTGGCGCGACAGGACTCGTCGGGAACGCTGAAAACGACGATATCCTTGGGTAAGACGCCGACGATAATACACACGGGTCCGTTCTACTCAATGAAGGAGCCACCGGCGAAAGCTGAGTTAACGGGCGACAAGGATCTCATGACCGAATATGGACTGCATCACACGCTGACCAAATTTAAGGAGAAGAAATTTAAGGAATCCCTGGCATCCTTTCTGCCCAACATACCCGGCATCAATGACCTCATCACGCATCCCGTCGAAAATAGCACGCTGCGCAGCGTCATCGAAAAGCCACCAATCGGTGGCAAGGAGCTACTTCCATTGACTGCAGTGCAGTTAGCCGGCTTCCGATTGCATCCAGGACCGGTAAGCATCAGCTTCAATAATTCATATACTCTCTCATGCTAATTATTTCGATTGCTTTGGGTCGCAGCTGCCGGAACAGTACCGCACCACATATGCAACACCTGCGCGCAAACACAAAAACAAGCACAAAAAGCACAAACACAAAGACGGAATTACCACTGGCGGGCCGGAGTCAACGCTGCTAGGTAAGTTAGCCGTAAATTGATGATATACATCATGAATGCGTCGCTTATCACATAACTCTGTAGATTCTGCTGGCCTGGAGACGTACGAGAAGAAGCACAAAAAACAAAAGCGCCACGAGGATGACAAGGAACGCAAGAAACGCAAAAAGGAGAAAAAACGCAAAAAGAAGAATCAAAGCCCCGAGCCAGGCGCAGCACTGGGCATCGGTGTGCCCAGTGGCGGCGGTGCTGTCGCCGCCGGCATGGGCGGACCAGTGATGGGTGCCACCGCTGGCATGTCCAATCCAATGGCAACAGCTGGCGTGGGCGTTGGCGTTGGCATGAATGCGGGCATGGGCCTAAACAGTTTTCCCACGTCGCTGCAAATGCAACAACAGCTCCCCATGCAGCATCAGCAGCAACAGATGCCCAGTGGGGCGTTATTGGGCTCTGTTTTGGGCACCAGTGGCGGCGGCGCTGGAGGCAGCGCTGGTAATGCCAGTGGCGGCCCAGGTAGCTTATTAATGTCACAGTTTTAGGTGATATCCATTAGTTAATAGACTTGGCTCATTACCTCTCACAAACCACACACACATACACACACACACACACACACACGCATGCACACACACGTCTATAGCCTACACACAAAAAAGAAAAACAAAACAAATGTGTCACTAATGCACACTAAATGCAATTTCTCGATAACGTTTCGTGTCTAGTTCTTAATTTATTAAGAGAATAATTATGATTATTGTAAAATAGTTTTATATTGTAATTAGCAAACTTTTCGTTCGTTTTACATTGCTAGCTTAATGAGATTTATTTAATGCAAATTATGGTACAAAATGCAAAATTTTCGCTCTAGATTCCAGTAATTACCCCTCCATGCCAAGACCCACTACTGTACACATATATATATACCATATATTACTTTCTAGCAGTTATTTCTTTCGATTTTGCTTACAATTTGGTGTAGCTACAGTATTTTTCTTTATTTGCAATTGTTTGTTCTTCCAGCATGTTTGTAAGAAAAGAGAAGAAAGTAAGCTGAGATTCAACAAAACAAAAACCTGTACTATAAGTAATTAATTGTATATGTAAGCGCCAAATACAATAATAAACGGCATGAAAGTGTTACTCAATGTTTCTTTAAGCGCGTTTAAGCACGCGGGCGACCAACAGTTGGCAGCTTTCAGCTAACAGCTGCCGTTGAAATGTACATAAAAATACCAAAAAGTGCAGTAGTTTTTCAACAGCTGTGTCACCATGCTAACAGCTGATAAGTAACGGTGCTACCAGACTATCTGAAACGCATCCCCCAGTAGATATACATAAATAAATTATCAGTGAATGAATATTTGTAATAAATAGATAACCTACAGTAGTAAACTGGCATTTAAGGGTTTCGGTCCAAACGCCTCTTCAACAGTTAAAGCGAAACTAACAGAATGTATAAACAAACGTGCACCAACTTGCTGAATCTTACACCTGTAGAGGTCACTGCCTGGCTAAACAGTTTCGATTCCGTTATTTCTGATTGTGATGGTGAGTGTGTGAATTTATCAATGAAGGATGCGGGGCCAATGTAAATTGCGTAATTCTGGAAGTTAAGACTACTTTTCTAAAAAGCAGGCGGTCACGTCACTTTTTCCCTTTATGTCGTCTGTCAAAACTTACATGCACATGTATTTATGGGTATGTGTGTGTGTGTGTGTGTCGCCGCGCAAATTTCAATGTCAAATTACAATGTCAGTTGGGTGCGGCGATCTTGACACTTGAAAGCTGCTACAATTGACGAAAATACGATTATTGATGTTTTAAAGTTTATGGCGTATTCTATTACCCTTTGGGAAACTTTTTCATAAATAATAATAACAGTCGAAGCATTTTGAGATATTATAATGAATATTATATAATGTTATATATATAGGAGTTCTGTGGGTATATGGAAATGCAATTGGCGGATCCGTGGATACCATGAATCAATTGAAGAAAATGGGAAAGAGCATTTATTTCTGCACAAATAATTCGACAAAAACGCGTGCAGAGCTGCTGGCCAAAGGTGTGGAGCTGGGCTTTCACATTACTGAGGACGGCATTATATCGACAGCCCATGCAACAGCCGAGTACCTGAAGCATCGCAACTTTAACAAGTGCGTCTATATTATTGGTTCGGAAGGCATTGCCCAGGAACTAGATGCAGTTGGCATACGGCATACACGTGTTGGGCCAGATGTAATGCAAGGTAATCTGGGCGAGTTTATGGCGAAGCATTTAAAGCTAGATTCGAACATTGGCGCCGTTGTGGTCGGATTTGATGAGCATTTCAGTTTTCCCAAAATGACAAAAGCTGCATCCTACCTGAGCGATCCAAACTGTTTGTTTATTGCAACCAATACAGATGAACGTTTTCCTATGCCTTCTTTTGTTGTGCCTGGAAGCGGAAGCTTTGTAAATGCCATTAAAACGTGTGCGGAGCGGGAACCCTTTGTTATTGGGAAACCAAATCCGGCCATATGCGAGGCGCTGATTAAGCAGAAGAAGATCGATCCCGCGCGGACTCTTATGATTGGCGATCGTGCCAATACGGACATTCTCCTGGGATATAATTGTGGATTTCAGACACTGCTGGTGGGCACGGGCATTCATCGCTTGTGCGATGTGCAGCGATGGAAGATTAGCACGAACCCGGAGGACAAGAAGCTGATACCGGATGTGTACCTGCCGAAATTGGGGGACCTGCTGCCAGCCATTGTGAACACCATGACACATGGAAGTTATTAATTTGTATTTGTTTTTCATATTTATTCAGCTAATGGATTCCGCTCAGGGACGCTACTAAAATTAACAATAGAAGGGAATTTATTTTTAACAACACGTTACATAAATTTATAGTACAATTTACAATAAAACTACAATTTATTTGTAAAGTGCTTCTGCTTATCGAAATAGCCATCCATCAAATTCGTTTGTAGCGCAGCGCAGTCAATTGTGTGAGCGGGATAGCATGCATTTTAAAACTCACGATGAGTCGCTCACTTGACGCTCAGTTCAGGCACAAACATACTCGAACACGGTCAACAGTAACAATCAGTCCGTGATTACAGAATGTTTAAGGCAAGCGCCACCAATTTGCTGGATCTTCAGCCCGAGCAGGTGAACAGCTGGTTGCAAAGCTTCGACACAATTATCAGCGACTGCGACGGTGAGTTTGGCATTTGTGTGTGTGTGCGAGCGAGAGAAAGAGTGAGAGAAGGAGAAGAGAGCTCCCACTTGTTGCAGAGCTGCCACCAGGCTTTAAAATGTTATCTTTAATCGATATCAGTTTAGCTTCATATCGTTGACTGATATCGACTTTAAAGTTTCTTTTATCGATATCAACATTTAAAATGAGGTTAATTATGATATTGGCGCGCTGGTTTAAAAATTGCTTGAAATAATTATTAATAATGTCAATTACTAACAGCTACATTGTGGCACGATGACAAGGCTATTGAAGGTGCCGCTGATGTGCTGAATGCATTGCAGACTCGTGCCGGCAAACGCGTTTATTTAATTACAAATAATGGCCTAAAGACGCGCCACGAAATTTGGCAGCGCGCCCAACGTCTAGGCTTTCAGCTGCCCAATGAGACGCACATCATCTCGCCCACGCAAACCATTGTCGACTATCTGAAGCAGACAACCGACATTACAAAGCGGGCTTATGTGGTTGGAAATGCGGCGATTGCCCGGGAACTAAATGACGCGGGCATTGAAAGTTTTGGCGCAGGCGAACCAGAGCAGCTGCAGCAAGACGTCAAGTGGCAGGAGTTTGTGCAGCGCGAATTTAGCCAGCCCGCAGCTGTTGCCAATGTGGGCGCCGTAATTGTTGGCTGGGACGAGCATTTCAGCTATTGTAAAATTGCGCGCGCCTGTCACATACTGTGCAGCAACAAGGACTGCGCCTTTCTCGTGACCAACAAGGATGCGGTGCACAAGTATCCGTCATATCACATACCCGGCACTGGCGCCTTTGTTGCCGCCATTGAGGCTTGTGCGGAACGCGAGGCGTTGGAAATGGGCAAACCCAATCCCTTGGTGCTACAGCCGCTGCTCAATTCGGGTGCCTTGCAGCCCGAACGCACGCTCATGATTGGCGATTGGTAAGCTGTTGCCCATTTAAGCAAGGATTGCGCCAATCAATGTCATTTGATTTGCTTTGCAGCTGCAAAATCGATGTCACCTTTGCCAGAAACTGCAATCTGCAATCGCTCTTGGTGGGCACAGGCAGCTATCAACTGGAAACACTGCATGCGAATCCCCAGCTGCCCAGGCCAGATGTTTTCCTACCCAAACTGGCCAATCTATTGCCATATATTTAAGCATTTTGCATGATCAATAAAGTGAGCCAATAATATGAACAATGCAGGAAGATATTAGCCTATCGGATATCTTATCAGTGTTAAGTGTTTTCCATATGTCAGTTATTATCTTTGTCTGGGCGGGATTGTAACTGAAACGCAATTCAGATTGTATATACATAATATTATTAGTTCCATTTAATTACAAATACATACATATACATATATATATTTACGCAATGTGCTGGCAAGTTGAAATGCTTATTAAATGTATGCCATTAGCTTTTAATTATTATAATTGTTATGATTTAATAGTGTGCAATAGCTTTTTAGTTTCTACTAGTAACCAACAGCTGTTCGTATTATATTTTTGCTGCCAGCACATTTATATCTCGACAAGCTCTTTGGGCGAACCGAACAATTTAATGCTTTGCGTTTAACAAGAACTTATTAGAATTAGCATTTATATTGTATTTGAACAAAGCGTTTAAAAGCTCAAGTAAATTGGCAACTTATTGGCTAACTGTACAAATAATATTGATGTATCAGATACACATACATATGGCATATACATATATAGTGCTATATGCCTATGTATATATGTACAAGTTATAGTCCTGTGATATGTAAATTTAGCATTTTATGTTTAGCAATTTAGCGCGTAAAGAAATCTCAGTAAGCGTTCATAGCAGTTAGCAAATCAGGTTAAGAGCAAATAACTGAAGCCTTAATACACCTCGATCCAATAGCTTAACACTCACCCAGTGCCGCTGCTCTTCCTTGTGGAACGCTGGACTTCTTTAGGGACTGTGTCTAAATTGCTAAAAGGTAACATCAGGTGCTCGTTGGCGTATTGGCCAAAATGCGCGAGCTCCTGGACAGGTAGCCATACCAGTAGAACACATTGATCAGAAAGAACAGCAACGGGAATACAATTCTTGAGGCCCGATCTATCTTCGATACCGAATTGTATTGCGGTGTCCGTTTGCCCTTGCGGCGCGCCTCCAGCTCCTCGCGCCTATAGAAGGACATGCGCCTGCGTCCCACGGTGGGCGGTGGGCTCTGTGCAGGTGTTGCCGCCGCCGCTGCCGCTGCAGCTGCTGAAGTGCAGGGCGCCTCATCGAAGCGCAGTTGCGTCTGTTCATCGTACTCCTCATCCTCATCGGAGCAGGTCGCTTTGCGTGGCTGACGCCGTCGTCGCCGGCAGCTGAACCAGTCCAAGCAGCGCCAGAAGCTGAAGCCAGTCAGTCCGTGGCGTCGATTACGCGTGGTGCGTCTGGAGTGGAGCATGCCCAGGCGACTGCTGCCGGATGCTGGCATGTTGATGGCACACATGGACAACGGTATAACCTCATAGATCTTGGATTCACTGCTGCCGCGAAAGTCCGACTGGCCGCTGGCATCTGCATCCGTTTCGGATTCGGCCGAATCCGAGTCAAGGTCCTCAATAATAAAGTAGCACTCCCCGGAACCATATTTGGTGAAGTAATGGACAACTGCGAATTGCAGAATGGTCGCAAAGATGAAGCCAAACGACAGGAACACAAAGAAGTCCAACGCTGTGGGATACGACACCTTGGGCAGATCTGTACGTGCTTCCAAGCCCAGAAATGTCATGGTCAGCACCGTGGTAATGCCCAGAGAAACGCGATCCGCAGTCGCCTCACGATTCAGCCAAAAGGAGACCCAGCTGAGCACCACCAGCAGACAGCAAGGCCCATAGACCTGAATCAGAAAGTTGCCCATGTGCCGCTGCAGATGAAAATTTACCATCAGCATCGAGTATTCCGCTATGGAAGAGGGGCAGAGAGAAGGCCAAGATTAACAGCTGCAAGTCGCAACACTAAGCTGACAACTTACATGGATGATGCGTTTCCAAGCTGATGCTGCCCGCCAGATTCGTGACAAGACCACCGCCACCGGCAACGCCGCGTCCCGAGCCGAAGGCGCCTTTGTCTAGTTTTAAGCCAGTGCCACGGACATGTTGATTTTTGGCACCCGGGCCCGCAAAAGTTGACATCACTTTGTTGTTGTTGTTGTAGTTCTTGTTGTTGGGATTGGGCGGCTGCTTAGATGGGAACGTGTCCTTGTTGTTGTATTGCTGGGGCATCGGAGCGGCTGCCTTGTAAACAATGTCCGTTATATTACCCGCCGGACAATCGACCAAATCGAATTGTGACAATTTCATGTCCTCAGCAATGGCAACTGCCGGTCGCTCTTTGTTCCAGCGATAAATGACATCCGACGTGGTGTAGCCAACTGTCCAATGGCAGCAACAAAATTAGTGGGTGCAAATTCAACGTGAGACATTTGTTATTCCAGACTATTGGCAATTAAAAGAGATTGCATCAGAGATGCAACAATTTAATTGGCCAACTGTGCTCGCACTTTTTTGGCTCGGACTAAATATATAACTGGTTGGGGATGATTCAAATATTCGTTTTAGTATAAGATTCTGTTGATTTTTATAACTTATTGCGTTTCTCATTGGTTTTAACTGGTCTATTTTGATGTAAATAAATACTTGATATAGTTACTTGAAGAAATACTTTGCCCAAAAGCCAAAATTATATGAAATGAATGTCGTGAAAGTTACGAAAAAAAAAATATTACCCAGGCTTATGAAACTTAAAAGAAATATCTAAATGTTGCACAAGATTTTTTTTACTCTTAGCAAAATAGTTTGAGAATACATATTTTAAAATTATTATTATTAATTACAATTATTATTGTTATTATTTTTTCATCTTTTTGTAATCTTTAGCGTTTTTATAGATTTGCAAATAAGCGACTCCCAATAATATTCCTCATCTCAGGCGCCAGTCCCAGCGACACACACATCGTGAGATTGGATGTGAAATTCCCTATGCCATTTCCTTAAAATGTTCCTCAAATATGCCAAAAATGTAATGAACCACTCAATTAACGTCTAACACCTATCCACCGTGACTGGGTCAATCACAGTGCATCATATTTTCCTCATCGCCATCGATTCAGTCGAGACCTCTGCACGTTTTCCTACTCTACCTGCTATCAACACACGTGCCAGTTATTTTATTTGTTATTGCAATTGTTGTTGTTGTTGTCGCCTTGCTGCACAAATTGCCAAACATTGCGACATGTGTGGATGCGGATTGGTTTACCTTATTCCTATTTTTTTTATATATATATATTTTCGGATACTATTCCGCTGACTTTGGCAATATTTTCGGTGAGTCGACGTCGCATCAAATGGGAAATTGTCAACATTAAGTGGCAGGCAATAACAGCGACAAGCTGTGCGGAGAGTGTTGCGGGGTAATTGAATTCTTGACTGCATGCAACATTATTCACAGCAAATCGGAAGCAATATCAACTGTGGCACGGGGCCTGTTCAGGTGTCGTCTGTTAATTTAGGTTAGCGATAAGGCATTCAAGCAGTTAACTGGGCTCATAAATTGTTGCCAAAAAAGAAAACAAAAATAGTATCCCTTAAATATATGCTATAGTTAAGTAACAGCAGCTTTTGTTGGGGCTTGCAAAATGTTTTGTTAGCTTTTCAATTTTGCATGTGTAACAAAAAGTTGTGTGATGAAAATACATCAACGTCAGGAAAGGTTTTTGGCTTGGCAGCAATAATTGAAATGTCAGCTGCATCTATTCAGAGAAGTATTAACCAAAAGAGACTGAAGAGTCACACAAAGTAAATAAAGTCTGCGTTTAAAGTATTAAAATAGATATTACGATAGCACCGGAAGAAATCTAATTCAAATACCAAAATAGAGTATAGATATTCGCTATGGTTTTCTGAGTTATTGGTACATACAATTCTTATAGCTAGCATGTTATATCATGATAAAATCGATATTAATAGCAATAATAACCCATGGCTTATGCCATTAAAAGCCTAAACCCAGCCAAAGTCACACATATTCACTTGACAATTCTTTTTACATTCATAATCACATTCAATGCCATGGCATTCAGCTTATGGGTCTAAGCTTGAGTCCTTCCATAGCCACACACACACACATTCACAGACTTAAAAGCATATGCTTCATTGTCCTTCCAACAAGTGGTCGCCACGGACATGCCATTCATGAGGCTGACAGAAGGCGCATCAAAGCGCTATAAGCGCCAATTATGCATAATTATGCCAGCGCACAGCCATGCCCCCTTGCCAGCACCCAGCCCTGTCAATCCAATGGGTCTTGCAAACATCCAATGTTTAGGGTTTTTTCTTTATATATTTTGCACTTACATGAGCCAAATTTCAGCGGGCATTTCTGTATGTCCATGGGAAAATCCGCGAGATTCATGGGGCAGCCTGCTTTAATTGTCAGCCGGCTGGAGTACAGAATACGCCCATTCTGATGGATGCGCACAAACTTATTCGGGGTGGTTATCGTGTGCAAATAGCTCTGTTTGCCATTGTAAAAATACGTATCCGGCTTCCAAATGCGCGCCAGCATTGACACTGACAGCGCCAGCGTGTCCTGGGCGCCCTCGAAGGCGAGCCGTTTATCCACCCAGGATTGCCGAAAGTAACAGTCCATCGAGTAGGTCTGCAAAAGACATGGTAAATGAAGGCATATTGAGAGCGTGTCTTATGGGCGCGGCAGGAGGCGGCGACCACTCAAAAGGTGTCCAAACGATTTGCTCAACGTCTCCTGCCTGACTTTTGGCACACAGCATGTATGTGAGTTATATATATGAAAATACAAAAGAGTCGTAAGTTTTTTATAGCTTACCATATCCACTTCTGATATTGGACCCATACTGCGCACCATTATGTCCACCTCAATGGTGGCAGGTGGACCTTAAAAAAGAGCGTACAAAGTTGTCAAAGCTTAATCAATATTAACTAAGATTAACTATTATAGTACTATATTGTAATAGTCTATGCTGATTTCGTACAAAGATGTTATGGAATCAAGATTTTTAAGATTTCAGAAATTTTTAATTATGATTCAAACATTATCTACTAGTACTTTAAAGGAATCTAAGCTTGGTTGATATTTCTTCTACATTATTCTAATAATAAAAAATTTTATAAAATATTCGAACTGTTTTGTCTATAATTTCGATAATATTTTTAATATTTCATATAAACCATTTTTATTTTTATTTACATTTTATAAACGTATTTTGGAGTTTTTAAAAAAGTATTCCAGCATGACGCAAGGATATTCGACATAATTCCCGCACATGAATAATTCATAGAAGTCCTTCACATGAAACGGAATTTAAATGTTGCCTCTATGAACAATGACACTTAAGCCGCTTGGCAGACAGTCCCATTCCATAGGCTCAGCGCAGTGTACTCGCATCATCTATGAGCCTTTCCATGTTCATGTATTTTGCGCTAATATGCATTTTTTTTTTCATTGGTTTTTTATTTTTGCCTATGCGAACAGTTTTTAATGACTTTGGCGTTGAGCTTGGCAAACACGCGCTATGCATCCTGCATCCTGCCTCGTATCCTTATATCCTGCACGCTCATCGCATTGCACCGTGGAGCACTTAGCGGCCGAGCCCATTCTTAATGAAGTGTTTAAAACAATGTAATTTGGGCTTAAGTTGCGTAAACGCAAACTTTTGGTGCAGCCGGCGTAGAAGTGAGGGGGGAATGCCCGTTAAGCTTCATTGAGTGCCAGCCGCAAGGCTTTTAAATTTCGAAAATATTTAAATTTTTATGGTGCAGACCATTTGGAAAATTGAAAAAGCTTATCAATTTGCGGGGCAGGGCGAGTAGCTTTTGTAGAATCCTTGCGCAACAAACAAGCACGCAAATAAAGGGAGGGGGAAAATTGCAATGAAATTGTATGTAAATAATTTGTTCTCGTTTTTATTTTTGTTGTCTATTTTGACACTAACTATTTGCCAAGGGAGCATCATCATCATCGTCATTGTGATCATCATCATTATTGTCGCCTTGGAGCTGTGTGTATGTCTCCTGACAGCGATTTCCGCTTCATTAAACGCTTCCGCTGAAGGAGCGAATCTGCTCATGTACTCGCATGCTGATTACAGGAAACTGGCAAAGGGTAAACAGCCAAAAAGGTATAAACAAAACTCGAACCACAGAACCGGATACAAATGGCACCCTTAAGATGAAAACTCAAGTGTTCCAATTACCCCTTTCTATTTATTTACAGACAATTTATGTATTTATTTTGTTGCTTTTGTTATTTATTTATTTGTTATACCAGATCAGAAAGTGAAAAGAGTGTTTGTTTGTGTTTGGCTGGGATAGACTGTATGTATTTATATTTTCATCAGGAAAGTTAAGACATCAAATTCCCAACCAAAGTCATAGTTTATACAGATATTGAACAATTAGTTATTGATTACTTTTGAATTTTGCAAAGGTTGTGAAATGTGAAAAGTTGCCCCAATGGAATTTCCTTAAAGATTTTTACAAATGAGTTAAGTAGTAATAGTTTTACGCCAATTTTCCACAGTTGCGGGTGGAATTTCGTTAATTAATTAACATAGAGCTTTGGCCAACAAATGTTTGAATCGCACTTTTCACAGATGAAGCTTGAATTTTGCAAAATGATAAACACTTGGATAGATCCTAGAATATATATTTGAACCGTCCAAGCCTTTGAGCACCATTTCCACCAAGGAGGGTGGATATTCCGGCAAGTGTGAAACATGTATTAGGAGAACTGTCCATTAAAGTTGGGCAGCAGTTGAAGCCGCAAAGCAGCCCCTTTAAGGTATGTATTTAATCATCTTTTAACTAATGTCTGTATATTCAGATAGTTGGGCTAAGATATGTCTAATTTTGTATAGCTATGTTACTTTGCGTGCTTAAACCGTTTATTTGAATTTTTTGTTGGCAAACTTACCACCGAAATCCGGTCGAATGCTATTATCATAGCCACGCAGCAAATTGTCCAACAATTCGGAGATGTTGGCATGATTATTGCTCTGCGTTAGCCAGGAGCGCGTCAGCGAACCAGCTCCAATCTCGTCCAGTCGGTGCGTTTCGCCGCGCCCTTTGATGCTGCCGGCCATGACCCCAAGTTGGCCAATGGACAATTGCCAGGCATTTGTATAAATGCAGCACATTAGAAGGCAGCAGCTAATCAAAAGTTTAAATATGCGCAAGTTTAAACGTTGTCCTTGCGCCAGCCAGGACGGACAACTGCTGCTCCTGCTGATGCCAGAGTAGTCGCCGCCGATGAGGTCAGCCGACGCATTGCCGGATGTTGTTTTTGTTTGAGTTGTTGTTGCTCTGCTTGCGCACATATTGCACAGATTTGTTATTGTTGCTGCTGTTGGTGTTCTCTTTGTTTTTGTTTGAGTCTATTGTTTAGACGTCTGATGGACAACTGTTCTGGCCTAATCTACACATCCGTTTGGCTAACATTTGTCGCTTTAACCGGCCGTTGGCCAGTCGGTGGCTAGTGACCAGCTACAACGGCTTCAGGTCCTGTTCCAGTTGCTTCTCTGGTTTCTGCTCCTGCTGCTGACAGTTCTCGTTTTCTGGTTTGTTTGCCAGCCGGCTTGGTATTTATTTTCATTTATGCACCGGATGTTGCACTCGACACTGGCTGCATTCCGAGCGTTTTTCTTAATTTCACAAACTCATCCACTTCCTTGGGTCGCATTAGTTCCGTTTATCTTGTCCTGTATCTTGACAATTGTCTTTGTGTATTTCAGTTCGCTTTGGCGGCTTTTGCGATGAGTTTTATGATTTTAATTGTTTGAATTGGTGACTGCCGACTGTCGCCTGCTCTTGGCAGTTTGATTAACTGCCAGCAGTTTGATTGGGCCAATTAGCCAGGAGCATTGAGCTTTATGCTTAAAAAAATAGTAAGCTCTTGGCAGTTGAACTAGTTTTTCAATTTATTAAAATCTTTGCTTTTTCTTTTGCTCGAGCTTCAAATTAATTTGCTTATGTTAAAAAAAATGTATATTCAAAAGTTTTTGATTAATCTTCAAGTGATTTTTACACACACACACACATATTTACAAACACAACATGGCGGATGCGTAATATACAATTTTAAGCTGCACAGCTGGGATTTGCATAAGATTAATGTTCATAAAGCTCATGTTGAGTGCACATATATATATATATTTTTAATAATATTTATATATTCATCTTGGCTACAGGAGGCCTGTACCTTAACCTTATTGATGGCAAGTTATTAAATCGAATGAAACCGCGCACAGCCAGCCAAGCAACCCGACCAGCCGGACCACAAGCCGTTAATGAAAAATCAACTGCCATCAAGCAAGACGAACTGGCAGCTGGAGGGCAGTCGGGCTGTCATTGCATAAGGAGAGCTGTCCTTAAATAGGTCCTCATGCTTGGTCAGTTGCTCGAAGGCGTCAAGGCGGACACCATCTATCTAATTATGCAAAATACAATGCGACCCATAAGTTGATTATACGTCTCACCCACTAACCTAATTTGGTGAGTGTGCGTGTTTGCGGTGGCATCAGGTGGCGTTAACTATTTTGAATAATAAGTAGGCTTCCGTACGGCACATTCATTCTGTGGCCACTTGCATTTCGCCTTGTCTTGCCTTGCCTTCAAGTTGGGCATCTGATAGCATCTCAGAGCCAGTGCATCTCATCTCAGCATCGAGGTCTCGTGCTCGTCAATGTTACTTGCCACTTGATTGGGCGCTGTGTTTGCTAATTAGTCATGTGTCTGAAGCTTAGTCTGAGTCTGAAATTCTTAAGCTCATCAGGAAATGTGCATTATGTTCGCTTCGTTTACTCAGCATGCGTCGGTTGTGGAAAATTTTTGAAAATAGCATTTGCTAGTTAATCTTTTGGCTAAATTTATTTACAGAGTTTATTAATGGTTTCGCTGGATTTTCGAAAAATAATATCAATTTATTATGAAGTCCGACTTTAAATCTAAAATTTGTTTGTAATTCTCAATTGGTTCTGACATAAATGTATTTAAGTTGTGTTTAGTTAAACTATAATTATGTGCTTAAATGTTGTACAAAATATGCCCTTATTCCCACTTTGTTATCTTAATATATGAAAAATAATCCTATTTCATTTGAATACATTAACTACTTGACGTTTGAGTACCCTACTCAGGTCTGTGCCATAATATTGGCTTTCATCATAAATTAAACAGATGATCATAATTTGTGCGTCGTAATCTGAGCCACACACTTCCCTTTTAATAATAATTTCTTTTTTTTTTCGGTCCTTCTTTCGTCAAACAAACAGAGAACAGCCATCCAACCAAGCATCCAGCCAGTAAAGGCATTAGCTTTTATTTCTAATTTCTTGCTTTGGTTGTCGCGACGCCTTTCCCAACGCTTTGTGCCTTTGTTAAACTGGCGAACGGGTTAAATGCGGACCCGGCCACAGGCGTAGAGCACAACTTGAGCACGTTCAACGCATTTTCTCATCAACGTCGTCTAAATTGCACTCAATTTTTGAAGGCTGCCCTCCTCATCGCTGACTGCTTCCGTTCTTTCCATGTTCCATTCTTTCTGCCAGTGCTACTGTGCCCAGGCTCTAAAGAATATGTCGCCTTCTTTTCGGCTTTGCCATCTGCATTGTTGCCCTCCGTATGTGTCCTTGCAGGGTATAAATTGAGTTTCAAATAGTGAAAACCATTTCTTACTAAAAAGCTTAACAATCAACAAAAATATTAAATATTTCAGAATACCTTTATTATTTTTTTATGTTTTAATACTCCAGTAATTCAGGGCTTTGATTAAGATATCTTTTGAATTATGCATTATGAATTATGACGATTATTTCTCAGCCTTAATAGAGCAAATTCCCTTCAAAACCCATGTAAATTTTAATTTCCTATTCAAGTTGCAGCTTTTCTTTATAGAGCATTTAAGCTGCGGTCTGATGTCTGCATATTTTTGCTAACCACATTTCTAAGCATCTGGTGCATATAAACTTATATGTATTCTGTTTTCTTACGGGCTCGCCTGCCTGTGTGGGTGCAGCAGGTGGTTTCTATGGACGCGGAACAGAATCTGAGCCTAAGCCAGGCATTATTTAGTTGCTCTTTGCGTCAGCACTTACAAACGAGTTGTGCATTCAATCTGCAAGTGCACAACTTATATAAGTATAAGCTCATATATCATATAGAGTTTCGCCTTTTTTAGGCGGCGTGTAAAATTGTATTGTCAGAGGCGGACAGCCACAAGTTTTCTAGTTAGCTTTAAAAAGCGCAATTTAATTAAATGCAAGTCAACATTTGTGCCACAGCTTTTTCGACTCATTCTGCGGTCGGTCGGGTCGCATGTAGTTCAGGCATTAAATAATACAATTGTTGTAATTATTTTACAGTAGAACTGCAGCACGTGCTGCTCAGAGCATGGCCAGGATGTCTGGCTCACGTTTTACAAACACGTTCACCAGTGGGGGGCACATTGAAAGCGGGTGAACTTCTGGTTGTTTGCATTTGACTTAGCTAAGTGCATTACCCTGTACAGTAGACACTGGGGCAACATGCAAAGAAGGAATAGTTAAAGCACAGCTGTGCTATCAATTGATATTGGAACATGATTATTCCGCGAAATGTGTTACAAGTTTTCTTCTTCTCTTTTCTTAAGATTGCAGCATAAGTATATTCTCAAGATGTCTAGGACTCAGTTAGTATTCAATTAAATAAAAAAATCTAATTCAATTATGCTAGGTTTCTATTATCTTTTGTTGAGCTCATCTTGCCAACTGACTAAATACCAAGCCCTCTCTTTTACATATTCAGCATCGTCTTTGGCACATATCCCTTATGAAAGCTTCATATATTATTTTCCAGCATTCAATTTGCTGCAAACAGAAACAACGCATTCCAAAGGTAAACAAAAACATTTCAACTTGCTTGCAAATTTAATGAACGCAAATGCAGTTCCCCAAGAAGAGCCGGAAAAATAAAAGCAGATACAAACAGATGCATTGCTGTGGCCAAACACATAATGACACACAAATTGCATAGGAGATTGAGATGCGACCCTCAAGCAAACTTGATGCTAGGGGGACCTCAACTTGACTTGTGGGTCAACTAACAAATCCCCAAACCAATTCAATAAAAGCAATAGACCATATCGTTGAGCTAGCCCCGGCCGGCTCTCGGCTCAAACTAAGAGTCCACAGACAACAACAAAAAAAAAAACTCTGACAAATTCAATTAATTTAAATGCAGTTTTTGTTAGGCCGTTGTATCATGCCGCGTACCATACGCGCATACACATACAGAATTTCTTTTTGGTGGGGGATAGGGTAAAAAGCTAAACGCATCACTTTACAATGTAAATCTCAAGAGTGCGATGCCCAGCTTTTTTATTTATATTTTTTTTTAGTTTTTCTACTTGAATCTGCTTTGCATTTGCCTATTCGAGAGATGTTTTATAGCGCGAAGCGGCGGCTGTCAAAAAATCTTACCAAAAAATAAAAAGGAGAAGAAAACTAAAAAAATTACAAAGCGCTGACATTGTCAGATTTAAGCGAAATGTTTGCGCTCGTCAATTTAAAAAGAGTGTTTGTTCTATGGATATATTTCTTGTAAGTTTATTTTCAAATATGTAAGAGACTTTAGTTATTCGAAGCCGTGAAGCTTCTTATATTTGGCTTGGCTTATGGAAATTTGAAGCGAGGAAATTCGAAAAATGAAAATTTGTCTATTACCAAATTGCAGCTTAAGCCCACATGATCACACTCGTAAATAACAGAAGGCAGACACTAAATTGCACTTACCCCCAAATCCCATTTGGGAGAGTTAATAGTTTTGTTAATGATTTGCTTGGTTGACCAAAATCGCTGGTGGTTTTATTAGTTGCAGCGATTTCTATCCTGCATATTTCGAACGCATTTACTGGTTACGTTTTTATCAGATTTTTAATTCTCTAATGTGCTATTCAATTTGTGATAATATCGTTTTGTTTGCACTTAATTTTTTTTTTTCTGTTGCTGTTCACTTTACTCATGTCATATTTATGGTTTATGCATTTAGCATTTGGTAATTGTGCGGGTCGACCGCATATGCAATTGATTTTTAATATATTTGGGGGTTTTCTGTAGTTGTACATAATTTTAATTGGGCAGTTGTCAGTTTATTGGGTCGCCTGTCTTCAATTTTAAACTAGTATTAGTCGACAGTTTAATTGCGTTTCAGTAAATGTTAATATGGCTAATGAGATAATTAGGGGAAACGCGTTTAAAACGCTTTTATATTTATTGTTCGATTTGTTTATTATTTGTTATGCACCAAAGGTTAGACAGCCAATTTATAATGCATAATTAAGAAAGAACGAAATAATAAAAATCAAATATTTATTTATTTAAGTGCATTTCTTTTACTCATCTTTAAATATAGCGCATACGCCGAGTTGTACGTTCTTGTTACTATCAATTAGAGGGTCAGCATTTATATAATGATTACAATATATAACATTGCAAAACACTTTATTTAAATATAAACATATGCACACATTTTTAATACAGTTTATCTTACTAAGTAATAAGGAGCTCAAATATTACGTATACGCCAAGCTGTACGGTATTATTATTAATCAATCTGATTTTTATAATATAAATGTTGCACAGCACTTTATTGAAATACATTTTATGCATTTGGGTAACAAACGGCTTAAATGTTACGCATACGCCAGGTTGTGTGTCAATATTTTAATTTACATTTGGGGGCATGCATTTATATTATTTGTAAGTTCCATAGCATTTTATAAAGATTATGTAATTATATTTATATATAGTATAGTTATATTTTTATTATATATATATTTTGTTCTATTCGTTTTATTCTTACTGGTGAACATCTCAAATATTATGCATACGCCAGGTTAAACTTTAATATTATTAAAATTGTGTTGGTCTGCATTTATATGATATTTAATTTGCATAACATTTTAAAAAGTTTTTGTATTTAAATATAAACACCGCACATTTCATATTTATATTCTTTTAAAATGTTTGATTCTAACTGAGTTATAAGCATCTCAAATATTACGCATACGCCAGTTTGTATATTATTATTTTTATATTATTTAATGGTTTACATTTTAATTATGTTTTATAGAGTTAAAGAGTTTCAAATAGAAGTTTGCTGCACATATTTTAAAATAGCATTCACAAACACAACACAAACGTTATGCAAACCATTTTTAAACAACAGCTTTGAATTGAAACATTTTGTTTAATTAACTTCCAACACTTGATATCGTTTTAACAATGCAAAACCAACTGTTTTCTGCAGTTTTTCAATTAATTTCTCAATCAGTCGCCGCTGTCAATACGCTATCAGCCTCTAATCTCCTAAGAGTGCAAAACAATTTTTTGCGCCGCCGCCGGCCAAACTAGAGAAAGAAGACGTCAACGGCTACAGTCAACAGCAATAAGAATCACAACAAACAGATAACGGAATCGAAATGGAAAACGAGGCCTTAATGCGCTGCCCGCTTAGCAGGAAAATTGGTCAGAGGACTACGTCGAGACGCGCCAAGCGCGCAACGCCAACTGAAACGACATTAAAACCCAACCGTTGGCCAAGATTCAATTGTGCAGCTGGGAACATGAGCAGAGGATATGCCGACAGCATAAAGCACAAGCACGCACACACACATACAGACAGCGCGCGCACACACACACAAACACGCACGCAACACATTCACGGACATGCAAAAGGCGCAAAATCAGTGACGCCCTGCCACAGCGGGCTAAATCATGGCACAAAATCCATTAACACTGCAGCGCCGGGAGTAGCGGGCGTTGTGTGTGTGTGTGCGTGTGTGTGTGTGTGGGTGGCTTCATTCATAAATGTGACTGGCTTTGCGTCTGTTTACGTTTCGAGCTTCTGCGCAGGCGCAGTGCGTGCTGCGGCCTGGCCACGTGCGCTTTGTTGTGACGCGCGCCAAATGCAGCTTGCACCTGTTGGGGGTTCCACAAAATTTGGACAATTTGGACAGGTAGTCGCTGTCACTCCAAATGCCAATTTCGATGACAGCCTAAATTTTGGAATAATAACTTAATTGTGTAATTGGCTGAGGCACTTTTTTTTGGGGCTAGCTATAAAAGCCACTGTTAACTGCGCTCTGTTCGACAGTTCAGTGCAATATGGCAAATCTGGAAATTTATAACTTAATTGTGTACAATTTGTTGCAAATAGATTTAAGAGATGTGGTCATATTTCATTGCTGGCAGCTGCCAGGTAATTAATTTGTTCGAAAATATTCCAAGGAGAGCCAGGGGAAATCAAATGAAATGCTTATGCTTAAATTATATCTAGAAAATCGAAACGACACCTCATCTTTATAGAAAGCCTGTAAAACTTGTTATGTAACTTTCTACATTTCAGTTCTCTTGCCACTGGCACAACTTTTTTCGCGAAACTTAATCTTTTCGCAATTTATAAGCCTCAGTCAATCCAACGAGTCCTTAGCTAATTTTTCAAAAGTGTATTTGGACAGTGAGTTAACAAAAATTGGCGTATTTTTGGATCTGGGCTGTGAGCAGAGTCCGTTTATAACTAATGAGGTAAATATACAGACTATATCTAGATATAATTATACAAATCAATTCTCTACTCCTTACAGTCAAGTCGAGCACAGCTTTATACGCATCGCTATCATTGGCTAATTTACGATGAGGATGGAAATATGAATTCATTTGTGGAACTTTTTGAAAGGGCTAATCTGAGCATCAATGCGGATGTGACCTATGTGCAGCGACAGCCAGCCGAAAGCTTCGACCATGGCAGCCTCTTTATACTCTATGATGTCTACAACAAGGGCAGCCAGTTGGGTGGTCAGCTGAATATAACCATAGATCAGAGCATTTACTGCAATCAGACGAAATGTGAGCCTGTGCAATATTTGAGTGAGCTGCACAAGAGATCCAGGCTGCAGCAGCGCACTGATCTGAGTGGAATTACCTTCAGACAGGTTGCATTGGTATGTGTCTTATCTTCGACTGATCAAGTTTGACCACCAATAAATTGCATTTACTATAGGTCACTGTCATACCTCTGAGCTCAGGAGAGGAAAAACTCCTCGAATTTTTGAATAGTGAAGAGGACTATCATTTGGATTGGACGTCGCGTGTGGGCTTCCGCCAAAATGTTCACTTGCAGGAGGTGTTGAGGTTCAGGTAAGTTGGAACTCCATTTAGCATTTGCATTCAAAATAACACGGGTCTTGTCAGTGTACGTTATATTTGGCGTAATCAGTGGAGTCTAGGTGAGACGAAGGGTGGCGCCTTGGGCGAAGTGACCACTGCAAATGCAGACTTGTCAACGACGGCATTTGTTCTCTCACCTGAACGCCTGCGCCACATCTTTCCGACCGCAGAAGTTAGCCAATTTCGCTCGATTTGCATCTTTCGAACTCCCCACAATGCTGGCATCAAGGCAGGCGTTTTCCTGGAGCCATTTAAGCTAAGTGTATGGCTCGTCTTTGGCGCTGTGCTGATGTTCTCCGGCATACTGTTGTGGTTGACATTTCGCCTAGAGCATCGTTGGATGCGGCATTATTTGCAGTACTATGTACCCTCCCTCTTGAGCAGCTGCTTGATAAGCTTTGGCGCTGCCTGTATTCAAGGCTCTCATTTAATACCCTGCTCCACGGGTGGACGTCTGGCTTTCATAGCAGTTATGTTTACCTCATTTCTAATGTACAACTATTACACATCCATTGTGGTGTCTAGCTTACTCGGTTCGCCTGTGCGTTCCAATATTAAAACCATACAACAGCTGGCCGATAGTTCCTTGGATGTGGGCTTCGAAACTATACCTTTTACCAGGGTATATTTAAATGTAAGATGCTTCAGCATAAAATACACATTTCCTTCGAAATTTACGTGTCTCTTCTACTGCAGAGCTCACCGCGCTCCGATATACGCGATTTGGTTAAGCAAAAGGTGGAAGGACGCAATCCCAGCAACATCTGGCTCTCTGCCAAGGAGGGTGTACTCAGAGCACGCAATCAGCCTGGCTTTGTGTTCGTCTCAGAAGCTTCATTTCTCTACACGTTCATTGAGAAGTACTACCTGCCCCATGAGATATGTGAGCTCAATGAAATCATGTTTCGGCCGGAGAGCGCCGTTTACACAGTAATACACATAAACTCTACGTACAAGGAGCTCTTGAAGCAAATCCAATTACGCATGATGGAGACTGGCATTACGCAGAAGCATAAATTTTTCTATACCAAAACCAAGCTGCACTGTTATGCCAATAATTATGTCATCAATGTCGGCATGGAGTACGCCGCCCCACTCTTTATAGCCTTGTTGTTGTCATATTTTGCATCGATATTTATTTTAATGCTGGAACTAGCCTGGGCTCACTTGGGCAGGCGGCACCTGCAGCATTTCATCACGGCGGAGTAATCGGTATATGGCGTTACAAACATAAATATTTAATTTGGTAAGTTCATGGTATTCATGGTAAGTACATTCTTCAAGGCTGCCTAACTCAACCTTCGACTAAATAATAAATGCCCAATTAGTTAGACTATGAATCCCTTCCAGACAGCTTTTCACCCAGCTGTCACCAACTGGCAGCTGCCAGCTATTGAAAGATATAAATATTTTTGATATACATATTTATTGCGCACATTTAACTGACAGGCTGTTGAGTTCATATAAAAGCACTTGATTCCAAATACTTGAGTTATTAGCCACTCTGTTGTTTAATTGTTTGGTTCTGGCAAAATGTTTCTGTATCAATTTATTCTATACTATTTCGTGCATATTGCCAAGTTAAAAAATATATTATTTTTGCATTGTTGGCCGGCTAATTGTGCGTTGATCCAGGCTTAAACTAATAAAATAATATTAATTTATCTCTTTTCTTTTAAGCACTGCTTCGCTTTGCACATTTAGCTAGTAGAGAACTGCTGTATACCCAATATCTAAACCTTAATAGGGAATACCCACTAATGGAGCACTTGCAAGATAAACTCATCGAACACAATCTCGTCAAGCTTGGCATTTATATGGACATAAACTGTAATCAAACTTCGGAAGTCTTGTTTATGGTAAGCTCACTTTTATATACTTATATCCTAGATAGATTCGGACGGTCGGACGGAAGGACGGACAGACGGACGGATATGGTTGATGCTGATTATGCGAATATAAAAGCTTTATGGAGTCGGAGATTCTTCTTTTTACCTGTTGTAAAAATTTTCACAAATACCTTGTATAATTTTTACCCACTATATCATCATATATATCATACATCATATACGGCAGTTACTGTAAGAAATTATCTTCATATTTCTCATCAATCAGTTGGTCATTTCTTTAGTCAGTCGCGTTAAACACTCTTATATATCTGATCTCCCTCAGGCCAATGGGGAGCGTCTGTTTATAGAACGCTATCACTGGCTCATCTACGACCAGAATTTCAGCTTGAGGCAGGTGCATCAACGTTTTGCAGAGGCGCAACTTTATCTGGGCACAGAGTTGACCTATGTCAAGCCCAGTGCAAATCTCAACAGCTTTATACTCTATGATCTGTACAACAAGGGAAAACATGTGGGTGGCAAGCTCAATATAACAATTGATCAGCAAATCGATTGCAACGATCAGCAATGTTACGTGAATCGGTATCTAAGTGATCTGCATAAGAGAAGCCGAATACAGCAGCGTAAATTTCTGACTGGCTTAACTTTACGAATCAATGCAGTGGTAAGTAATTGAGTTTTTTTTTTTTTTGTAAACTATTCCCCCAGCTTAGCAGTTTGGTCTTTAGCTCACCTCCATGCCGATCGACACACCAGAAACCGAGATCAAGAACTTTCTTAGCCGCGATGATGATATATATAGGGATTCATTTGCCAGGCTTGGCTACCAAGCGCATCAGGTGCTCAAGGAAATATTGGATTGCAAGTAGGCATACTAGCCTGTATATTACAGAAAATTAATTTATAATCAACTGAACTCTGCAGCTTTAGCTATATATTTCGCGATCGCTGGTCAGATTCGGAGTTGTCCGGCGGTCTTATTGGGGATATGCGCAATGAAACCGTCGATCTAAGTGCAACCGGTTTTCTCTTCAGCAGTGGACGCACCAAGTATTTCAAGCTCGTCACCTGGTTTTCCTCATTTCGTTCGATGTGCATGTTTCTCAATCCAAAATCGGCTGCCGGGGAGATACGCCTCTTGGAATTTCTGCAGCCTTTCAGCCGGACGGTTTGGCTTATGTTTGGCTCGATGCTGCTGTCTTCTGGCTTTCTGCTCTGGCTTACGTTTATTCTGGAACGCAAGTTAAACCACGTGAATGTTAGACCCTCGCTGCTTACCAGCTGCCTGTTGTCCTTTGGTGCTGCCTGCATTCAGGGCGCCTGGCTGTTGCCGCGCTCCACGGGCGGTCGCATGGTCTTCTATGCCTTAATGCTGACCTGCTTTCTTTTATATAATTATTATACATCTATTGTGGTATCCACGCTGTTGGGCGAAGCACCCAAGTCGAACATACGAACCATACAACAGCTTGCGGACAGCAACCTTGAGGTATCAATCGAGCCAAAAATATACACAAAGGTCTATATAGAGGTAAGCCATGAAATGTTCCCAGTGAAAGTACGCCTAACAAATTGTTTTACAAATTCAGACATCAAGCTATCCGGATGTACGTAGTCTATATCTGAACAAGGTTGTTAACAGCAAGCGCGATCCGAAGCGCATTTGGCTGCCGTCGGAGGAGGGTGTCCTAATGGTACGTGACAAGCCCGGATTTGTATATATTGCAGAGGCAGCTAGTTCCTATATATATGTGAGAAAGCATTATTTACCCCACGAGATCTGCGAGCTAAATGAAATTCTGCTGCGTGACGAGACAAACGCCTACACCATGATGCTCAAAACATCCAGCTATGTGGAACTAATAAAACTAAGGTGTGTACGCACATGGGCTCTGGGAAGAGTCTTATTTTTTTAATTTTTTATAGCCAGCTACGTATTCTGGAAACTGGAATTCATTTCAAACATTTTCACTATTGGATACAAAACAAGCTGCATTGTTATCACAGCAATAGGAACGTAGTTGTGGGCCTGGACTCTGCCGGACCACTGTTCCTGCTGCTAATTTGCGGCTATATTGTGTGCTTGTTGGTTTTTGGCCTGGAAATATTGTGGCACCGACGACAGCAGCGAGCTGTGCGTCATTAAGGCAAGTGCTCCTAATGACCAATCATATTTGCTTTGTTCGGTGTCCAATTTAAACAAACAAACTGACAGCTGACACAGGGACAGGTAAATTGCTTGAGAAGCGACTATAAAAGCGCTGACCAAAACTGTTTAAGTCAATAGCAAAATGCAGCTTTTGCATTTGGCCAACTTTGTGTTGCACAATTTGCTGCAGTCGCGCATCAGCTTCATCATATTCTTTCATTGCTGGGCCGGAAATGAAAGTGGGCTCAGTTATACCGCAGCCAAGTGCAGCAATAACAAGCAAATCTTTTAACTCTTTGCAGCTTTTCAATTCGCACAACAAATTAATAAGCCCCATCATCAGCCCATCTATCATCAGTTTGCGCACTTGAATGACTGGAACTGGGATCACTTGGAGCAGCGTTATTTGGATCACTTACAGCCCACACTGGCAATATATGTGGACCTGAACTGTTTGAGAAGCAGAAGCCTTTTGGTGGAGGTAAGTGCTGCTTGGAAGTATAGCTTATTTTAAAACTTAGCTATAAGGCGATAAGAAGCAATAGCTATGTTTAATCCATCGAAGATAAAATACCCTCTAAGACATTTAAAGTTCGTAATTGTTAAGTTTGGTTAAGAAAACTTGAAGAACAGAAATGTCTGCGACACAAAACGTAATTTTTCCACCGATTGCAGCTGTGAAACTGTAAGATATAGTAGTCCGATATTGATGTGATGTTGCTCACATATAAGAAGCAAAAAGTTTGGAAAACAAAGCTTCTCGCATAGCGAAAATTATATTTCCGTTATTCATCGACTCTGAAGAATCTCGCAAAGTGCAGCTTTACTTTACTTTACTTTACTTGTTCCTATGGCAGCTATATGATATGGCCGGTTGCATATGTGCTGCCTGAAGCAAAGAGACGGACCTAAAAGGTTCCACAACAGACAGACGGACAGACGAACAAGACTAAATCGGCTGTTGATGTTTATCTAAAATGTATATACTTTTTGGAGTCGGAGATGTCTCCTTCTATAAAAATGTGAATAACTATCTGCAGGCGAGTCGTTCAAAGCTCTACAATCAGCACTACCATTGGCTTCTGCACGATAGCTCGGAGTTCTTTGATTTCTACGAGTTCTTCAAGACCAAGAACATATCCGTCGATGCTGATGTTAGCTACGTCAAGCAGCGACACGCGGGCAGCTCGGACGATGTCATCTATACGCTCTACGATGTCTACAGCAATGGCAATCACATTGGCGGACAGCTGAATATAACCGCCGACTGTGAGCTGGTGTGCAGCCAGATCGATTGCAGGTTGAATAGGTATCTCAGCTCATTGCATATGCGTCCCAAATATAGTAATCGAGAGCAGCTGACGGATGTGGTGCTGCGTGTGGCTACTGTGGTGACGCAACGACCCATTACCTGGCCGCGGGAGCAGCTGATGCGTTTTCTGCACCAGGTGAACGAGACGCATGTCGATAGTTTGGTACGCTTTGGCTTTCAGTTATCCTTGATACTCAAGGATATGCTGCAGTGTGGGTAAGTGCTTAAGGGTTTCCCGCTTCAGTTGAGTGTGCGACCACATTTCTATTCTGCCAGCATGAATTTCACATTCAAGGATCGCTGGAGCATTAGCGACTTCAACGGTGGCTCCGTCGGCGCTGTGGTCGACCAGACAGCCGACATTGGCTCTGCGCCCTGCCTGGCCACAGCGGGCAGATTGCAGCATCTATCGGCCATTATTGAGACGGGCTACTTTCGCTCCGTTTGCCTATTTAGCACACCCCGCAATGCCGGCATACGTGGCGATGTTTTCCTGCAGCCTTTTAGCGCTCTGGTGTGGTATCTGTTTGGCGGTTTCCTGCTGCTGATTGCCCTGCTGCTCTGGCTGGCCTTTTTGATGGAGTCCAAGCGTATGCATAGCCGTTGGCGTTTGCAGTTTGTGCCCTCGCTGCTGAACACCTGCCTGATAAGCTTTGGAGCTGCGTGCATTCAAAGCTCAGCGCTAACACCACGCTCCACGGGCGGACGATTGGCCTATTTTGCACTGTTCCTGATTAGTTTTATAATGTATAACTATTATACTTCTGTGGTCGTCTCCTCGCTGCTGAGCTCGCCCGTTAAATCGAACATCAAAACGATGCAACAGCTTGCAGAGAGCTCGCTGACCGTCGGCCTGGAACCGCAATCCTTTACCAAGAGCTATTTAAATGTTAGTACAAACTAACTATAATATATGAGATATATTTATTCTTTCTAATATTGCTTTAAAGTACACGCAACGCCCGGAGATTCATTTGTTTAGCAAACGGAAAATCGAATCACAGTCCAAAAATCCGGAGCTCTGGCTGCCCGCGGAGCAGGGCATACTGCGCGTCCGCGATAGACCCGGCTATGTGTTCGTCTTTGAGGCATCCTCCGGCTATGCGTATGTGGAACGCTTCTTCACACAGCAGCAGATCTGTAATCTCAATGAGATACTATTTCGACCCGAACTATTGCTCTACACGCATTTGCATCGCAATTCCAGCTACAAGGAACTCATACGCCTAAAGTACGTTATAGTGGAAATCTATGTACGATAGACTGAATGATATGCTATATGTAATTCTCGCAGATTGCTTCGGGTACTGGAGACGGGCATCTATCGCAAGCATCGCACTCAGTGGTTTCGCACCAAGCTGCATTGTTATTCGCAAAACTTTGTAATTACCGTGGGCATGGAATATGTGGCACCGCTCTTCTTCATGCTGATCTGTGGCTATGTTCTGGTGCTGTTGTTGCTGCTGCTGGAGCTCGCCTGGCAGCGCTATGTGCAGCGCTCACATTAAGCCTTACATGTTTGCACCTCGCTTCAACCGCAAGCGGAACAAAACGCTTTAAGCTCTTATGCAAAATAATAAAGTATAAAAAAAAACACTTTACGTTAACTTTTCGCCTCGCCCAGCGACTGTGGAATTATGCAGTGCAGTGCTGCGACCCGTTGTCCCTGCGTTTCCTGTTGTCAGGACCCGTGCAAAATTGCCGCACGCCTCGTTGAGTGGACCACGTTTTCATGTTTTCATGCGATTTTCGTATTTGCATTAAAAAGTTTCCTGTTTGCCGTATTTTGGGCAATGATTTTTTTTCACCCACACCAGTAGTATTTGCATTTTTATGGCCCGCAGCAGAATGGGCCATTGTAGCTTGGCTGCGCGTGTGCCCGGAGATATGCCTAAGCCCACTTATTAAATAGTTATCTGAACTTGGCAATAGTTGGTTGCAGGCAGCATCCTTTTATATAACTTGGATATACGTCCTGTCATTTCAAACAATTTGGCAGAGTTTCTTAACGCTGGACTGTAATCAATCATCATCAATCATTTCATATTTGTCTCTTATTTGTCATGTGAACATTGTGACCTGACGGAAGCTGGATGTTGACCTGCGGGCAATTTTTTTCTATTCGGGGCACAATCAAAGACCGTGCGATATTACCCTTAGAAAACTAGGCAGCAATTATTAATGTTGGCTTTTGAAAGCATTACAAAATATATTTTGTACTACAATTTAATTCATTTCCCTACATGAACTGTCATTTATTCTTCTTTCAATATGTTTAACATTACATTACAATTCTAACATACACTTGTTATATACATAATAAACGGATACGGGAATCTATATGTTTACCTCCATATAGATCCTTTAACTGCCAAATATAAGTCTCAGTAACAGAGACTTGTATGACAAATTGCCGCAGCGCTGACAAATTGCCATCTCAATCTTGTTGTCAACAGGCTGTTTAACTTGTCCGTCCCCTGAGGAACTTGTAATACAATTCTGTCAGTCTGTGCACATGACAGTCAACGATAAATTGACAGCCAATTTTAAATTATTTACTACATTTACTTGTCTTTATCCGCGCTGCACAGGAACAGTTCTGTCCGCATTGTAACTCGAATACCCCAACACGCGTCCACCTCTTAGAATTCCCACCGCATGTTGCATTCGATATTGCAGTTTGTCAATAACAAGTTTCAACTTTTTTTTACTCTTTCTACCAGTCGCTCCATTTGGAAGTGCACTTTCACTTGCAATACTCTTTAAAGTGGAATACCTACCTCTGTTTGCCAACTCCATATAGCAGTTGGTTAAAAGGAATAACAAATTTATTGAATATGTGAAAAATATTTGTATATAAATCTCTATATATAAGATAAGTGTTTCGCACTTTTCGGAAAGTTCATTCATTGGTATAAATGGGAGTCAGAGATTTAGTGGGAGATGTTTCGTGTTTGAATTCACTTCGAAAGATCTTTATGATGATCTTTCATATATATTTACGGAATTTGATCATAGGAAAACGTAGATTTTTCTTCCTGGGTACAAGGTATAAAAAATGTTTGTATGTATAGAGAGAATATATAAATATTAATTTATATATATATTAACAAAAAGGTAATATTTTTATTAAAAAATATACAAATTAAGTTTATAAATAGAATTATTATTAATTTGAAGGGTATTTGTAAGTCGACCAATTTCCATGTTAAGTATTTTTTAGTTGCATACTTTGCGGCTACGGTGTGAAATTGTATTTGGCGGTTTTGTGTACGTGCTAAACAAGCGCGCAAATGGTTTTATTTTAAATCGCATCTGGCAATTTATTTACAAATTCAAAGTTCTTTACTCGCCCATATACATATATACACATAGTACTACATATCAGCTTTACGCATTTATGTGAAGCTGAAATTCGCTAACTTATAGATTTATAGCTAGTTTACGAGCGCCGTTGCCAAACGTTGTCTCGACTGATATCTTAAGATTTATACGGCTCGTGTTTAACATGTGTGCCTGTAAACATCTTATCGGATTGTTATTGCCTGCAACTGGGGCTTAATCTATGCCCGTGAATTACTCTGATAAAGTTAATGATAATGATGTCAATTGGTACTCGAGTAATTTAGCTTGAATTTGACACATTCAGTTCGGTTTCATTGCTCGAACGCGTTTAAACGTAAAGCGCCAGGCTTTCAAGTGCTTAAAGGGTAATATAAACGTATTCGATAAGGTTTTTGAATGGGTTTCAGCAGGCAGTTTCAACGATTTCATGCTTTAAGAAGCCCTAAAATAACTTGATACCTCTCAAGGCTCCCGACAGTCCTCCCACTTTGAATAAAATTAACATTTATTGAATGTAATTCAAGCAAATGCATTTCATCGGAGCATTTAATTATTGTGTTTATTTCCGCTAATGATTTACATTTCCGGCTTGCAGCACAGAAAGGTTTAAAATAAATATAATTTAAATAAATACACACTCTTCACTCAACATTCCTTATGCATATCTTTTCTCTTTGGCTAACTAAGCTAGCCAGGTGTTCTATTGACTTATATCGCATTGCGCATACGACACGTTGGCCGGCAACATATTTAAACTAGCTTTTAACAATTAACAATGGCAGTAACAATAAAAAGAACGTTGACTGCATATGAAATTTCCTTGCCAAAAATAAAATATATATATATGCATATATATATGTATATACTTTATTGTTAATTCACTTACATTTTTTTAACGCCTCATTAACAGCTGCCAACTCAAGACAACAACGACAACAACAAAAGCGACAAAAAAATATATAAACGTGACATCGCTGACCGGCCTCTTGCCATACGAAATACCCTTTCCCCTGCGGGCCCCACTTCTCTGCCCTCAGCAAAAGGTTTTCGCAATCGCATTCAACTTGTCGCGCTGTCCATTCACAGCCGAATGCATTGAACAAAAACAGAAACACTGGGAGAATCATTTCGTATATATCTATGCACAATTTTTGGCTATATACATAGTTACATGCCTGATCGACAATTTGGCACTTGTTGCTGCCTTTTTACTCTGACTTTTTTATGCTACCGCTCGCAACTCGCGTGATCTCAAGCGCTTGGGGTCTTTGGCGTTCAACGTCGCTGCCGCTGCCGCTGTCGCTGCTGCTGCTGCTGTTGCTGCTGCCACCGCCGCTGCTGGCGCTGTCAATATAGGCGGCGGCGTCGTTGTGGGTCTCATTAAGTGGGCGGTTCGCTCAGATTCAGTCGCTCGTGAAACGTTAAAACGCGCGAAACGCCTTGTCGTGTCGGCGACGTTATCTAAAATTCTCGGAAACAATTCCCTAGGTCTTCTGAAAGTACACAACCGTTAAGAAAATCTTGCAAAACAAATCGCATAAAAAAGCGTTACGAAAGGTGCGCAGAAAAGGGTAAAAAATAAAGTACAAATAAGATTAAAGACTAAAAATAAAGTACTAATAAGATTTTATATTCGTATAATTCAATATTATTTCAAAAATTTTTCGAAATCAAAAGGCTTCTGATTCATAGCATTTTTGAATTGATAAACTTTTAAAAAATTCTTAAACATCTTACGCCTCTTCTGTGTTTCTAATCAAATTATTTAAGTTCTACTTAATCAACTACTTGCAACATCTCAGATTTATGGCTGGCAATATTAACATTTATTTCCAAAAGTTTCTTAAACTCTAAACTGAACTCTTTCGTAACTTATTTTCGCAACCTATTAAACTTAAACTTCCTATAATGAAATTCAATATTCAACATAAACTATAAGGAAAAGTCAGAATGTCATGTGAATTAATATTGCTGTGCCATAAATTTAAGACCCAAGGCAAATGTCGCAAACTTACGGCTCAATTTACATTATCGGTTATTATTCAAATTGCATTTAGCTTTCGATTTGGATTTGGAGGGTGTCGGGTTATTCGCTGGCTATGCCAAATAAAAGTGAAAACTAAGCTGGGATAGTCTTACAAAGTGGGTCAACAACTCGACTGTGAGAAAGTGACTGGGCATGAATCAGAATTGAGAATATGATCGAGTATTTGAAATATCCGCAGCCTGAATATTATTGAGAACTCGGCCTGAGCCGTTATGTGCTTAATAAATCAAGTTGATATTGTTTTATTTATTGCCGCTTGGCCAGCTCACACGTGGGTCCCAGGCGTCTATTTAGCAACTATTTAATTGCTCATCTCAAGAATTGACAAGGTCACATAGTTGCAGCGGCATCTCGGCAATTCGCCGAGATAATTAGATTGGATACAACTTTCTAGTTGCATTACCTTTACCATTCTGCCGCCCTCTCTCTGCCTCTCTCCCCTTGGCAGTCCTTTATCATGCATTTGTTTTTTGTATTAAATCTCTTTTTTAGCTATTGTTTGGTTCTCTATCAAGTCACAAGTTTTTGGGTTTGTAAACAAATGAAACATTTTGCACTTTGCCCATGCAACAAGCTTTGCCAATAAATTGTCAGGTTTAAGGCAAACTATTTTGGATCTACTTACATCCGGACCCGGTACGCTACCCCTACGTGCCATTAAACGGTCGATAAACAAATTCTATTTAAATGGCGTTTAAACAAAAACAAAAATTAGTCGCTTTCCAGTTAGTAATTAATGTGTTATATCATATACACGAACTATAGTCCTATTATTTACGTATTTCCTCATTTTTAAGGCAATTTCTAATTGTTTGCTGCCTGGCTAAAAAAATAACATAAAAAAACACTCAACTAAGGGACGCGCTTACAATAAAGCTTTACTTTATTTTTAATAGTCCATAAATAAATAATAAGTCCAATTCGCGTGGCCATAAATCCAGATTTAATGTCTCAACAACCCAGGCAAATATTTATCAAAAATTCTGCGTCAATATTGTTGAATAGTTCTCAGAAAAAAAATCGAAAATAAATAAATCATTTTTAAATTGTAACAAATTATGATTTTTAGAAGGCACTTTCAATTTTTTACTTATCTAACATTTAAGATAAGCTTGATGTGCGTATACCTACCCTATATATTATGATTGTTAAAAACACATTTTTGTATAAGATTGGAATTTAAGAACTTCATCGTATATCAATGCGATTAATGCGAAATACGTGTGCCACATCCAAAAACTGGGTTCAAAAATTTTTTTTTTAATTTTTTGAGTATGCTATAAAATTAACTGAAACAAACAGACAGTCAGGAAAAGATAGATGGACTTGGGCATTGATACTGAATACGAAAAAATATATATATTTATTTTGGTGACGGAAATGCCGGCTTCTAATACCCTGTTCACAGAGTAACAATGTTCGTTTTCGTGATATTCATAATTTGCACAGCAGAACAAATCAATTTTTTGTGCCTTTTTTGAATAGGCACAGGGTATAACAATACTAGATACTTACTTTAAGTACTTAGCGGATATTAAGCAATTGCATCATACGCTTAGTTAGTTAATATTTGAAGCACGTTTTCGCCATGCAAGTGGACATAATTTGTTCTATGAACTTGCTCAATGAAAAATGTTCAAAGTCAAGACCGCAGACGCACATGTTTCGCTTAATAAAAGAAGCTTTAAGAGCCCCTTGTAAAAGCCACAAAATAAGTTATTTTTAAACTAAGCGAAGCTTTTAAACTAATTGCAGCTGAAAGCGGACAGAGCTTTTTAAATGATATTAAATTTGCATATTATCTGTAACACTTGAACCAATTAAGGCAGAAAGGCTCGAAGCCATATTAAGCTCTAAACAAATATTCTCAGAGCAATTTGGGCCCTGGGCTAGATGGAGATCTGTGATGTGCACAATTCTGAACCTAGTTATATCATTTGAAACAACCAGTTTGTTAAAGAGAGGGTATTCCTATTTCAGTCCTGCTGCCCAAAATGTCGCCGTCCAGCAAGCAGCAAGAGGCGGAGGATAGCGAACATAATCCCCAGGTGGTGGTCACGACCACAGGTGCTACACACAGCATACGACACGATCGTAGCCTCTGGCGTGATCTGACAGCCTATTGGATATTGGGTCTATGCAACAACTATGGCTACGTGGTGATGCTCAGTGCTGCGCACGATATCATTGCGCAGTTTAATGATGAGGTGAGACAGAATATGGCTATATTGAGTGACTGATAACTGAACTGATATTCCATATTAGCCAGAGGTAGACGATGGCGCTGTTGCCGGCACTGGACGTGAGTGCCATTTGGTATCGACGGGCGCCATATTGCTGGCAGATGTGTTGCCCTCACTGTTTGTCAAGATCCTGATGCCCTTCTTTCCGTTTTGGGTCAAGTGAGTTCTTACTCTCGCCACATTCAAGCCTGTGATAAATGGTTTTCTTGCAGTGTACGCATAGGCATAGCCGTTGCCTTCTCGGCGGCGGGTTTCCTGCTGGTTGGCTTTGCGAATGCCGAATGGATGGCGCTGCTGGGCGTGATTATTACCTCGGCTAGCAGCGGCATTGGAGAGACCACCTTTCTGGCGTATTCCTCCCGCTTTAACAAGTAAGTTTTGCTGTTTGACCATTCGCCTTGCCTGCTTGAACGCCTTCTTTTCCAGAAATGTCATTTCGACCTGGTCCTCGGGCACAGGCGGTGCCGGCGTCATCGGTTCACTGAGCTATGCCACGCTGCGCTCCCTGGAAGTCAGTCCGCGCGACACCATGCTGATCATGCTGATCTTTCCCGCTATTGAAGCTGTTGCCTTTTGGCTGCTGTTGCGTCGTCCCCAGATGCTGCCTGTCACCACTGTGGAATCTACCGAGGAGCTTATTAGCGATGATAAGCCCTTGGTGGGCTTCAAGGAGAAAATGTCATACATTAAACAACTGTTTAAATACATGTTGCCGCTGTGCCTGGTCTACTTCTTCGAATATTTCATCAATCAGGGCCTGGTAAGTCCATAAACTGGAAGATTTTCGTGCGTGTTCCAAATTAATGTTTTTTTTTTTTTTGTACTGAACAGTTTGAGCTGGTGTACTTTGAGAACATCTTCCTCGATAAGGCATCTCAGTATCGCTGGCTGAATGTGGACTATCAAATAGGCGTATTCATATCGCGCTCTTCCGTCAACATCTTCCAACTAAACAAAATCTGGCTAATGTCCGTGTTCCAGTTCATAAACGTTGTCTACTTCCTAACTGAAGTCATTTGGTTCTACACGCCCAGCATATGGATTGTGTTCGTCATTGTCCTGTGGGAGGGACTGCTGGGCGGCGGCGCCTATGTGAACACCTTCTATCGCATGTCCAAGGAAATACCGCCGGGTCGACAGCAGTTCGCCATGGCGATGGTCGTCCAATCGGATTCATATGGCATTGCATTGGCCGGATTCCTGGCCATACCCGTGCACAATGCCATTTGTGGACTGCCGGCGGCAGTGCGAAGTGTTGTCTGGTAACAGAACAGAATATAGGAACATAAAAAGAGCTCATAATGAGTATTTAATTATGCCTTTAAATTAGCTAAAATGTGTGAGTGTGAGTGTGTGTACGTTTTGTATTATCGCGCGTGTGTGTGTATGTGTATGGTTGGTAGTTAGTTTTTGTGTTTAATATTTAGTAATTTAGCAATTAGTTTAACAGTACATTTAACTTATAGACACTTCGAATGAAGTGTAATATGGTATTAATCTAGAGATAAATATCTTATAAACCAACTTTCAATAACAGCATAATAAGCTGAGAGAACGAAATCTGAACAATTAAGAAAAAAAAAGAAACAATGAACAATAGACATTGAAAATGATTACCAGGGCCAAGCTCTGTTGAGGTTATCATCTGGCTGCTTGCTATAATACCGTAAGCTTGTAAAGTGCAATATAATCGAGCAAAAAATATTCTATGATTGAGTCTTGGCAAGCAATTGCCATCAATTAAAATACAACAGAATTTATTTTTTGATACTTTATTACCAACAATGTTTCTTTCTCTTTTGTTTTTGATCGTTCTGAAAACTACGAATATGTAATTTGGTTCATAATATAATGCCAACTAATATGCCTATGTTGGACGCAATTTATGGCTAAACTTATTCAGATAGGATATAGTATATCATAATGCCCGGGTCTATAGATAAGATAAACCATAGGCTGAGCTCCCTCAGGGAAATCATGTGCCTTCACAGTGCCACCTTCGGCCCTGTCCAGGTATTCAACGCGCACGCCCACCCCGAGGGCGGCACATAGTGCTATGATGTGTATGTGATCGGATTCCTTGAACATTGGCTCGACTTCTTGATGGCGAAACTCCTCAATGGATAGATCACCTTCGATAAAGTGTTGATAAAAGTCGGCATCCTCCTGCAGTTTGCCCGACGTTATCAAACGCAGATAAACAATCACATAATCGGAATATCCCTGCTCGTTGAAGATATTATGCAGCTCAGTCTGCATCTTCTCAGATCCTCCGGCGTTATCTGGACTAACTCTATTTATAACATCCATAAACTGCAATCGAAAACAATTAAGGCATTCTTCTTCTGAACAAAACACAATAACTTACAGTTCCATGAAAATCTTCTAATGTAAAGCTGGGAAAACCGAGTTCTATTAGTTTATCCTTGGAGGCCTCTGCGATTTCTCGGAATTTATCGTAAGCAAGTTTATTCGTAATTAAATACTCCAAGTACGAGTAGGCAAACGCTCTAAAGAAGCAGTTGCCATCCGGACGTGTTCGCCGCATAAATTTATATTTCCCAGCCAAATCTTCGATCTTGGCTGTAAATACGGCATCGCCATTATATTCCGCAGTCAAACAAGTCAACGGCAGTTGTTCGCTGACCAAAGGGGTTGATTCACTGATCTAAAAATAATTCTTATCAATATCAAATAATGTGCAAGAAATACATTGCATCCTCACCTCCTTTTCAATATCACGCTGCTGCTGTAAAATTAAATCATCATGATTGCCGCCATTACGTTCCACCGACTCCATGAGTTACAAAAAAGTTATCAAACAAAATCACAAAAATATTTGTTCCAAATTTGAAAAAGTCATATAGGGCTAGTTTGACGGATGGCAAAAATAAAACACTACAAATATATCGGTCCCCAGAAAAAAAAAATACCCTAAAATAGTATTAATCGAACGAGCAGTAGGCTCTACAACTTCTGTTGATTTCTTAGTTCAGTTCTAGCTGCTACGCAGAACGGATCAGAAAATTACTTTATTAGTTGACTGAAGGATAGATAATAAAAACCGTAAGTTTAGAAACTCGGCGTATGGGAATTTTCTTTTACAATGCCTTCCTTTGTATTTAGCTGGGAAGATGACCTTGCCACGTGTTTATTTCGACATTTCTGCCGGAGGCGAAAAACTAGGACGCATCGTTATGGAGTTACGTGCGGACGTTGTGCCGAAGACTGCTGAGAATTTTCGAGCTCTGTGCACCGGAGAGAAGGGCTATGGCTATAAGGGCTCCCCGTTTCATCGGGTCATACCGGGTTTCATGTGTCAAGGTGGCGACTTTACCAACCAAAATGGCACTGGCGGGCGTTCGATATATGGAAACAAGTTTGCTGACGAGAACTTTACCTTGAAGCACACGGGTCCGGGTGTTCTTTCGATGGCAAATGCTGGACGTAATACCAATGGCTCGCAGTTCTTTATATGTACTGGCAAAACCAATTGGCTGGACAATAAGCACGTCGTCTTTGGCAAAGTGGTTGAGGGCATGGACATTATTACCAAGGTGGAGACACTTGGCTCTAACAGCGGCAAGACCGCTAAGAAAATTATTATTGAAGACTGTGGTGACTTGTAAGGAATACAACTTTGTCATATTTGTGCTCGTTTGTGTATTATAATCATACTACAAGATATAAAAAACGTGTCTGTGTATAAGCTTTAATTAATTATACTCTGAGAAACGACTTAAAATGGGTGGAGACGGTTATCATAATGACCAGATTAAAGATAATAATAAATGATAATATTAATAATGAAAATAATCATAATCATAGTACAAATAATAATTATAATGATAATGAAAATATAAATACCGATAATAATAATAATGAAAAGGATAATTGTATTTAAGAGGGTGATGATAATGTTAATGATATTAATGATAGCTTATAATAATAATAATAATTTTATTAATAATAATAATAATAATAATAATAATAATAATAATAATAATAATGGTAACATTATTAATGTTAACATTTTTTTCGGCTAGCAATTTTGGTTATAACATGACTGGTGGGAAATATAAATATATGGACAAACTTTGGATGACATGTTAAAGGTGACCTGGTTCGTTCGGAGGGTAAAATATTAACGTCTTAGCCGGGTGGATGGGACGTGCTTCAGAGGGAGATCTGGCCAGTATTTTCGCGTGTCATTTCAGCCGAACGCTATATCAGCGCTTTATTAACCAGATATTAACCAGATTCAGGCGAAGCGACGAACTGCGCACGTGCCAATCACAATAAGTAATTAGCAATAGTGCATTATTCTGAAGCGTTTGAACTTGTTTGCGGTTCGAATTAACAGCCATTGCCCACATCTCTGTTCCGTGTCTCCAGGTGGACACGATGACAGCATTATATACCACCCATTTATACCGCCGGGGGAGTAATTATATTAATAATATAGCTAAAGGCACCATATACAATTCAAATTCTTATCAAATTTTCGATTGCTCTAGGCTTTTACGAAATCGATAAGTATCGGTTTCCAGTACCTGTTCTTTAGAACAAGTATAATTTACTTTTTTTAAAAGCTCCGACGAAATTTGAAAAAACCCGTTTGCTTATGTTTGTGAGTGTATACAACAACTACGTGTGTTCTTAACGACAATGTGGATGACCTCTATATACAGGGTATTTATAGTAAAAGACTATATTAAAAGCCGTAGATAGTTCGCAACTAGCACTATTCAAAATGAAGCCCTAAAAGTGCGCCACACAATTTTTGATATTTTGAAAATTAACAACTTGTTTTATTTTAAACAACGCTGTGTATTATTTATGCTTTATCAACCCATTGGTCGTGTGTTTATACAGCAGCTGTTGCTGTTGCCACAAAAAGATCTCCGACGTAACAATGACAGCGGCACAAGCTACAATGTTGACTGCTAATTGCTGAGCGGCGCTTGAGCAGCAGCAAAATTTTTTAACCAGTCGTTTTTTAGCTGCCGCATCGAAAGGTTTTGAAGCGGCATTTAAATATTTACATATATTCCTATTAAAATTTACCGAAATGCGCGTCGTCATCTTATCAGCACTTTTACTATTGCTCAATCTCAATCTTAGCTGGGTTAAGGCGAGCGAGAAAAATACGTATAGAACTGGAAATAAATTGCCTAATATAATCATTATAATGGCTGATGATATGGTAATTGATATAGTTCACAACCAGTTTTGTATCAATATCAATAATTAACAGTTATAACTGACTAATTTAGGGGTTCGATGATATTAGCTTACGCGGTGGACGTGAATTTTTAACACCCAACATCGATGCACTGGGCTTTCATGGACGTCTGCTGGATCGTCTCTATGCACCGGCCATGTGTACACCTTCCCGTGGCGCTTTGCTGAGTGGCAAATATCCCATACACACAGGTAAGCAGTGTCTCTACAAAGTAATGCTGATGTAGTCTGAACAAACTGGGTCACCGTGACAGGTACCCAGCACTTTGTGATTAGCAATGAGGAGCCCTGGTCGCTAATGTTAAACACCACGCTGATGCCGGAGATCTTTCGGGCGGCTGGTTACTCAACCAATTTGGTGGGCAAATGGCACTTGGGATTCGCTAGGCCGGAGTATACGCCCACACATCGGGGCTTCGACTATCATTATGGCTATTGGGGCGCCTACATTGACTACTATCAACGGCGCTCACAGATGCCAGAGAAAACTTATATCGTTGGCTATGACTTCCGGCGAAACATGGAGGTGGAGTGCACAGATCGTGGCGTTTATGTTACGGATTTGCTGACCAACGAGGCGGAGCGTATAATCCAAGAGACTGCGGCTAAGCAGCAACCACTTTTCCTTATGATTAACCACTTAGCCACGCACACGGCCAATGATAACGATCCATTGCAGGCACCCGAGGAGGAGGTGCAAAAGTTTCTCCACATCAAAGATCCAAATCACAGGAAATATGCAGGTGAGCTTAATATATTCAATTATTTAGCATTATGTCTTGATCGTCAAAAGTATTTGAATAGCCATGGTTTCCAAATTGGATCAGAGCGTGGGCCGTGTGATTACCGCGCTGTCGCGCGCAGATCAGCTGGAGAACAGCATTGTGATCTTCTACTCGGACAATGGAGCGCCTTCGGTGGGCATGTTCGCCAACACGGGCTCCAATTGGCCACTCAAAGGTCAAAAGAATTCACCCTGGGAGGGTGGCGTGCGCGTGGCCGGCGTCATTTGGAGTCCATTGCTAACGGCGCGTGGCCATTTGTTTACCCAACCCATTTATGTTGGGGACTTTCTGCCAACGTTGGCGCATGCCGCGGGCATTGAGCTGCCTGAGTCGCTCCAGCTCGACGGCATTGACTTGTGGCCGCAGTTGTCGGGTAGCAATGATGCTCCACATGTGCCACGAGAGATATTGCACAGCCTGGACGATGTGTCACACTTTAGTTCACTGCTGCTGGGTCAGTGGAAGTATGTGAATGGCACCACTTTGGCCGGACAGTTCGATCAACTGTTGACCCACCGCGAACTGGACGAGTTGGATCCGCGCGCGCGTCGTTATGTGGTAGAGGTGCGTAATTCACCTGCCTCCAAAGCTCTGGCACGATATGATCTCCAGCGACTTACACAACATCGCATGCATACGCTCAGAGGATTAGCCACTGTGCGTTGCGGTGATATGCAGCGTGGCTGCAATGCTTTATTGGAGGAATGCCTGTACGATCTGAGCGTCGATCCGTGCGAGCTCAACAATCTAGCTTACTCGGAGGGACATGCGGAAATTCTCGCGACGATGCGCCAGCGTGTCCAGCAGCTGCGTGCTGAAGCTTTGCCGCCTGCAAATCGTCCAGGCGTCAGCTATGCCAATCCGAACCTGCATGAATGTACGTGGGACAACTTTGAAGTCAAGAAGGCGGGTGCAGGTAAGTTTAAAAGCAACAATTTAAATGTAGTATTTAAATATATTCGTTATTTAATGTTGGCAGTGCCGCTGGATTGCGATTACCATGGAATTCCCTGCAGTGCTTAGCCGTACCGTTAATTTCGATAACGATTTCATGCTCAGCACGTTTGAATATCGAATATATGCCAGCACGGTCTGGCAACGTTTCAGATCTTTCAAATTTAACTAAGATTTTTTGAATTATTTTTTAATTGTCTTTTATGTTAACTTTTTAATTATTGTTATTGTAATTCTATTTAATGTTTTTAAATTCTGTGAAATGAATACAAAGTGCATTACAATTTAAATGTAGACAATTTGGCGCCCAATAGTGTCAGCTGATGGCAGTGTCAGCCGTTGTTCATAAGGGTGGAAAGGAAAGCGCATACCCAGTATCTGTCACAGGATTTCAGACACACAGTTTTGTTACCATCATGGAGGAACGAGCTGTTTTAGCAAATATTGCCACAATCATTACAAAGGATCTGCTCATCGATGAGCAGCCCAGACACAGCAGCAGTGGCAGCTTCTTTTCCAGCAGTTATCCGTTGCTCGACGCCAGCGATGACGACGAGGCCGAAATCTTTGCATTGATGCAGCAAAAGCGTGCAGTCGCATCAGCCGGACAGGTTAAGGAAAAGCTGAAGCGCACGCACATCGAAGAGCCAGCGGCGGCAAGCGACAAGATTCCCAGCAAAATGGCCAGACTGGAGTGGAAATATGCAGAGCTTAATTTGCTGCAACGCTATGCGGATGCTCAGTTTGAATCTTTCCTACATATGCGCAAGCTAACCTTTCTGGTGAGTACACGCATACTCAAGCTCCAAATGGAAAAGCTGCATTACAACCCAATTGGGCTTGCAGAAAATCCAGCAGGCTCTGGAGGATATTTTGCAGAGAAATGCATTGCCGGGTGCGCCCAATCCACAGACAACCCTCTCGTTAGCTCTTTGGAAACTGGCTACAGATGAACATTTCGAGGAAATCGCACGCAAGTTTCAGTTTCCTTGGTCGGTGTGTCAGCAGGTAGTGCGCAGCTTCTGGCACATTATCTCCGACAACTATGAGAGTTTTATCAAGTGGCCCAACTCTCTGGAGGCCCAGCAGAGTACACTGCAGGGCTTTCAGAACGTGCCGCAGCTGAGTTGCTTCCGCGAGCTGTTTGGCGTTATATCCCTGAAGCGTCTGGACATTTTTTTGGAATGTGAACATGCCGAGGTGGCCGTAGTACTTCAACTGATTTGCAATGGCGAGCACAAGATCATTGACTGCTACGTGGAACTGGAGCAGGATTACACCTTCGAGGAATCGCCGATTGGACAAACGCTCGCTCTCAATCCACGCACAATGCCAGCGGGCAGCTATCTAATTGGCAGCAGTAGTTTTCCACTCAAATCCTATTTGGTACGACCTATTGAGGCAGAATGCTTTCGCAAGGATACCGTCTTCAATGGCTTGTTGGAGCCAGCATACCAGTTAGCCGACGATGTGATGGATACTTTGGCGCGTCGTTTTCAAACTTTATATGCTCTGGAGGCCCGTGATTTGAACGAGGTGCGGCTGATTGTGGAGAGCATTTGTGCTATGCACAACCTATGTGTAGATTTCCAAGACAATTATTTAGAGACGGATGAAGGTGGACAAAATAAATTTAGCTGGGGCGGAGATCTGCCTGGACGTAGAGGCAGCGAGAAGGATGCCAAGGGACTACGTCGCCGCATGGAGCTGCTTGACGCACTGGTGAACACTGAAGAGGGGGAGTAATAACATATATATATATACGCGATGAAATAAAAAAATGTAAATCACTTCGGAACATCAAACCCTTCATTAATATGAAAATATAAACAGTATTTAGTGCTAGTCATTGCGATATATGCGAAACTATCGATAACGCATAATGCTAGATCCGATAGTTTGATTGCCGGCTGCGCAACATCTGGCAACTCTGTAGCAATAACAAAACAAATGCACGTGTAAGATTTTGTTTAATTTAAATAAACCATTTGCGGATATAAAATGGATACATTCGACATATTTAAACAATTAACAGCTGGTGTACGATTTACTAAGAAACGTGCGGTATGTAGAATTTGGTAAATTAAAAGCACTCACTAAAACTTATGCTAGGCAGGCTCCGTCATCCAAGCCAAACACTTCCAACCAGGTAAAGGAACAACCGCAACCGCTACCATCTGCCTCTGAGCCAGCCGAAGCTTCCGAGGCAGACGATGACGGCACAGCAAAGGACGAATTTCGTTTGCTCACTAATGTCACCGGCACAGCACCAACTGGACCCAAGCAGAAAAAGGCCAAAAAGCAACTGTCAAAGGAGCAGGCAGAGCAACTGCAACGTGCAGAGAAAATTAGTGCCCTGCGCAAGGAACATAGCATAACAGTGCTGGGCAAGGATGTGCCAGCACCCATAAATAGCTTTGACGAGCTGAGCACGTCGGATTTCAAGCTGCTGCCGCGCCTGCAAGAGAATCTTTTGTCCTATGGCTTTGCACAGCCCACACCTATACAAATGCAGGCGCTGCCCGTGCTGCTGAATAATAGGGCGCTGATGGCCTGCGCCCCAACGGGCTCGGGTAAAACATTGGCATTTCTTACGCCCATCATTAACGGGCTGCGCAGTCATAAAACGACTGGACTGCGCGCCCTGGTGCTGGCGCCCACACGAGAGCTGGCACAGCAAATATATCGTGAGTGCGCGGAGCTTACCAGGGGGACGGGACTACGCACTCACTTCATCAGCAAAGTGAGCGAAGCACGGCAGCAACATGGACCCGACTGCAAACAGAAATATGACATATTGATATCAACGCCAAACCGTGTACGTTTCCTGCTGCAGCAGCAGCCGCCACTGCTGGACTTCAAAGGCATTGAGTGGTTCGTGTTGGACGAGGCTGATCGTCTCATGGAGGAGGGTCAGAACAACTTCAAGGAGCAACTCGACGAAATCTATGCGGCCTGCACGCATCCGCAAAAGCGTGTGGCCTTTTTCAGTGCCACCTACACGGTGCCTGTGGCCAAATGGGCGCTGCGGCATCTCAAAAATCTAGTGCGTGTGACGATTGGTGTACAGAACAGCGCCACGGATACAGTCCAACAGGAACTGCTCTTTGTGGGCTCGGAAAGCGGTAAACTGCTGGCCGTGCGCGAAATGGTGCGCCAAGGACTACAGCCGCCAGTTCTGGTCTTTGTGCAGAGCAAGGATCGCGCCAAGCAGCTGTTTGAGGAGCTGCTCTACGATGGCATCAATGTGGATGTCATACACGCGGAGCGAACGCAGTATCAGCGCGATAATTGTGTGCGCGCTTTTCGCGAGGGTCACATCTGGGTGCTCATATGCACGGAGCTGATGGGACGCGGCATTGACTTTAAGGGCGTCAATCTGGTCATCAATTATGATTTTCCGCCTAGCACCATTTCGTATATTCATCGCATTGGACGCACAGGTCGCGCAGGTCGTCCGGGACGCGCCATTACCTTCTTTACGCAGGACGATACGGCCAATTTGCGGAGGTAGGTGCTTATAAATTCCGACGTACTTCACATTCAATTGATATATATTTTATTAATAGCATTGCACAGATAATCAAGAACTCGGGCGGAGAGGTGCCGGAGTACATGCTGCAAATGAAGAAGGTCCGCAAATCGGAGGCGAAAATGCGTGCCAAGAAGCCGCTGGAACGCGAAGACATATCAACCAAAATTCGCCCTGAGCCGAGGCCAACGCCCAAAAACCTAGTAAAATTACAAAAAATAGAAAAAACCGAAAAGGTTCTCAATCAGCAAAAGAATAAGAAGCATAATAATTTGGCCAAAAATGGAGACGCAAATGCGGCACGCAAAACCAAAAAACTGGCAAAAATCAAAGACCAAATAGCGAGCAAAGTGGCTGCAAAAGGCAAAGCGAAAAAGCCCAAGAAGAGTGTTAAATGATGCGCCTATTTTAAGCAATAAATATGAAGGTAAGGTAAGTATATAAAAATATTATATTGAATTATATGGTACGCTTAGTTATGTATGTTACTTTGCAGATTTGTTCACGACTTGTGTTGATGATTCTTCTCAAAATCCTGCCTGGATTTTCACTTGTAAAAAAAAAAAAACAACTTGAGACTAAGTTTTAGTTCATAGAACATGGGAAATAACCGTTCAAATAATTAGCCAGTTATTGAGTTTTTCCAAGTGTGCATTTTATATCAAAACAATATCCACTTGATAAATGCCATATGCGATTTTTTAAGGTGAATCAAAGGATATTTTAATAACATTCAATAATCATTTTAATGTTCCCATATTTCAATATAAAAACATGTTTTCAAAAAATATGCGTGCTTAACTATTTGTACAGCATTCTTGTATAAACTCTTATACTAAGTTGGGTTTTTTAATTTAATACTAAAAGGCGCAATCGGAATAGTAACAATTACAAGTTCTATTTCTCGTCTTTGACAATCTTCTTTGATGGCCTTCCACGCCTTTTGGGCTGCAAATCACAGCCTTTGGCGTGGTTGGCCAAGTGAGTTTTAAGTTGATCGCTTCTGGAGAAGCGCGCCGTGCATTCGTGGCACTTGTATGGTTGTTCGCCTGTATGGACGCGCACATGCCTGTCAAGATCTCGCCGACGGTTAAATGCCTTCGAGCAGTGGCTGCATTTATATGGATGGTCGCCGGTGTGCACACGCAGATGCACCGTCAGATCGTAGTTCCGGACAAAAGACTTTGAGCAGCGGACACATTTGTGCGGACCCTCGGCGGAATGAATGTGTACGTGAGCCCGTAAATTTGATTTTTGGGTAAAGGCCTTCGGGCAATGTGGGCACTTGTGTGGACGCTGGCCGTAATGCAATTGTATATGGTCCCTGGCATGATGGCTTTGAGCAAAGGCCTTCGGACAGTGCGGACACTTGTATGGACGCTCGCCGGTGTGGGTGCGCCTGTGCGCCTGTAGAGTTTTGTGCCGGCTAAATTCCTTGGGGCATTCCAGACACTTGTATTGGCGCTCTTCGATCTGCATATGTTTGCGTGCTGCCTGTTGTTTCTTGCCTTGAAACTGAGATTCTTCTTTAACAGAATTGGTGTCCGTTTCCGGTTCCTCGCTCCAGTCGCTGTGGTAGCTGCTGTCAGACTGGGATATCTGGCTGCGTTCGATGTAGCTCTTACGCTTAGATTGACGAATGGGATAGCGACTTGAGCTCGATTGCGTTTCTGCCAAGTCCCCATTTAAAAGAGATTCACTTTCTTCAATGCTCTCTGACTCCTGACGCTCGATGTTCCCCTTACTGTGCTCTTCAGGCTCCAAGTAGCTCTCGAGTGAGTTTTCTGCATTCGCTGTTTCCATCTGTTCCAAATGCTCATTGGTTGGCTTACAGTTCTCTCGCTCCGGACTCGCCTCGTGCTCCACTTTGATGCAATCGATATCCGAAACTCGCTTCGGCAGGTCCCATTCCTCGGCTGCCAGCATATCACAAAAGGCATCGACATCGACTTCAACTGCGCTTTTCTCAACCTTCAGAGCAAGCAATTTGTAGCTATGCTCACATCTGCGCTTGAATTTAAACGCCGTTTGGGCATCCGCCGTGCATGGCAGGCATATCATCTTGGGAAATGTATCGTCGCTTTTCACTCTGCAGTCCGCGCATTCGTTCAGGATGTCTGCCAAGCTGGGCTCATCTTCCGACTGCTCTCGGTCGCCGAATATATCTATAAGACTGGCGGATCCGCTTAAGCAGATGCGGCATATTTGATCCATACTTTTAACAATAAAGCTGCTGAAGCTTTAAGCGGCCTTCGTTATTTACTTCTTGCATGCGAGCAACAGATGTGTAATATCGATTCTCTAGGGTGACCATCTTTAATATAGAATATTCAATATATCGATACTATCGATACTGTTATGATTATCATGGCGGCAACAATTTAAAAATTCGCACGTTCTTTAATAACGCTCTTTTAATAGAGCTCTCGACTGCCGCCTCACCCTCATAATAAAATGTCATGTTTTTAATGCGGTTTTGATATATTTACTTTTTGTATGTATACGTATTATCTTAGATATAGTACGTTTTCATAATTATTTTTTAATGTGCAATTGGGTTTTTGTTTTATTGATTTATTATCAATTGTGTCAATACCTTATTCATTATATAAATTAGTGGTTTTTACTTTCGTTAAATGCTATTCTTAAATATAATTTGGAAGCAAACTTCTAATTTGTTTACCAAGTTAACAACGTTTTGAATAAAAATAATGTTATACAATAATAAAGTGCGAAATCATTTTTAATAAAAATCAATAATAAATTAATATGAATGAATAATATATATATAAATGTATGTTTATGAGTTTCAAGGGAACAACGAAACAAAAAATATATAATAATAAATAAAATGCATTAAAACCTACTTTAAAAGTTATAGCTGCGATTTTGTATGTTTTGTTATTTCGAGTTGGTTCCTTAGCAACATATTGTGACTTCCGCAGCTGTCACAACATTTAACAGATTGCATTACTTTTCGACATTTGTTTAAACTTATCAATTAGATATATGTATGTACGCGTTAATTTTACTATTGAAATTTGTTATGTACTAGGTTAGGTCTAAATTTCATTGTATGTTAAATCTTTTTTTAAGCTTGATAGGAAGCTGTTTTTAGGGCTTATTGTGAAATTCTGTTTAAATTATTTGTTTGATTTACTTGTCGTTCTTTATGCAATTATCATTTTAATGCATAAACAATTTACAAATTCAAGTACCGTTTTATAAGCCCTACATGCATTATAATTATTTATCAGTTTTTTGCGTAGGCATTTTACAATAAGCATGTTAGCAATTATATATATATAAATATATATATATATATTTGATTCTTAATGCTTTTTTTCGAGAAATTTATATTAATTTTTTGGGGAGAAGGCATTTTAGAAATTTCCTTGAAATTTTAACCAACTTTTTTTTGTTTGTTTTTTTTTTTTTACAAAGAACATTTAGCATTTGTTGATTGCTAATGACATTTTACGTTCATGTAAGCATATGCATATGTTTATATATATATATCTATTTATATATGTATATATGGGGGTGTGTCTCGGTTTGAATCTAACACTATGCATATTTGCTAAAACGCGCGACACAACAAACATTTTCTTTTAAAGCGCTACCAAATGAGAAACAATTAACAATTAATTATACAATTACGTACACATTGCTCAACTTTAAAACGCTGGAAAAATTTGGCTTCGATTTGTTGCAGTTATCTGTCGGTCTGTTTGTTGTTGTGTTGTATTTTTTCAGTAGAAATGCGGCGGCGGCAGCGTTTGCGACGGCAAAGCTAACGTCGGCTTCGGCTCCCATCAGACGACAGAATCCTTCCGTATCCTGTGATTGTTCGTTTGTGTGTTAGCATACATGTGTGTTTAAAAGTGCAAGATGAATACAAAGAGAAATATAATTATGTAGTTATGAGGGAATCGCTTTATCGATCATGCAGTATAAAACTATTATCGCACCACATATAATTCTCAGTCTGGGGTGCACGCATAACGCCAACGCCGCCGCCCAGACGACGATAGTTCATGCAGCCGCACAGGCGCCATTGATTCGTCTCTGGATCATACACCTCAATGGTCTTCAAATAGGCGGAGCCATCGAAGCCGCCCACAGCATACAGTTGCCCGTTGACTACGGCTAGGCCGACCTACAAGAGATGTTAGAATTAGGATAAGTTGAATCATTAAATAATAAGGCATCAATTACGCCGCTGCGCCGCGAGGTCATGGCCACAATTGGGCTCCAGGTGTTGGTTAATGGATTGTAGCGCTCAGCAGACGACAGTTCCATGCAATCATCCCGACCGCCAACGGCATAAATATAGTTATTAAATACGGCGCAGCCAAGATGTTTGCGACGAGTGGACATAGGATTGACGGCCACCCATTTGTTTTGCCTATTATTTGTGAACAAATGCAGATTAGGCAGGACATATGTCGATAACTTGAACAATAATTTACCTGGGATCATAGCGTTCTACAGTGTTGAGCGGGCATTGACCATCGGAGCCGCCTATGGCATAAAGATGTCCGCTCAGGACGGCAACAGCGACTCCCAGACGGCGTGTGGTCATTGGAGCCACCTTGGACCATTTATTCTCCTTTGGATCGTAGCGTTCGACATGATTCAAGCATTGAACGCCATCCTGACCGCCCACTGCATACAGAAAGCCATCCAGTACGGCTACGCCGACGCTTGTGCGGCACGATGTGGTTGGCGCAACATCGCAGGACCATTGATTAGTCTGCGGATCATAGCGCTCTATGCTATTCAAATAGCTTTGACCATCGTGTCCTCCAACAGCATAGAGCAGATCATTGAGAACGGCAACGCCGACGCCGCATCGTCGTTTGCTCATAGGCGCAACCATTTTCCAATCATTGGTCTGGGGATCGAAACGTTCAACAGATGCAATGGCATCGCCCGAGCACCATCCGCCCACGGCGAAAAGCACCTCTCCGCGCCGCGTGGGCTTGCGTGGACGGGTACGCGGGCCCTGCATCAGTGGTCGCTCCTGCGGCAGTAGCAGGTAATTTTTGGCCTCATCGACCAGATCACGGCAGGCTTCGTCCGAGCGTACCAGGAGATCAGAGCCCACAGTGCCCACCAGGAACTTGGGCGAAAGCAGCGGCAAACGCACATGCTGCAGCACCTGTTTGACAATAAAGCATAATTAGGAGTTGACCAAGAGTAGAGTAGACTGGCACTTACCTGTGCCAAATGCTGTCGCCGCTCAGCGACATTGTACTTGAGCCAGGACATGACTGCATTAAAGACCTGCTCCTCGCTGCGAACGTTGAGCTCGTCGCTGCAAATGATATCCACCAATTGGCCGACGGGCAAGAGCAGGAACTCCTCGCTCTCCATTACCTCTTGGAAGTTGTGTTGCGTAAATTTGTCAGCAATGCGCAGTAGCTCGCGGCAGGAGTGAGTGTCGGCGAAGGCGCGTATGCCCAGGCAGTTGGTCGGATCGAGTTGACGCTTGAGAAACTCACAGCATATGTCCTGTATTTCGACGAGCTGCAGGAGGCAGGCGGCTGGTAGCAGCGTTTGGACATTGGACTCCTCCACAATAATGTGGGCGGTGTAGCAAAAATCAATTAGCAGCTCCATTGCATTCTCATCAATATCGCGAATGGTGACCTCTGTTTGGCGCGACTCCTCCAGCTCGCCAGTGAACATGGCACAAAAGTATGAGCTGCACGCGCTCAAAATGACGCGATGGGCAAAGATCTTGCGTCCGCCCACATTGAGTACCACGTCACAGAGCTCCCGATGCCGTCGCAGCATGTTTAGCTCGGTAAGCGTCACTTTTGGATGCTTCTCCGATGTGTGGGTGAGTCGGGCCGGCGAGGGCGGGCGTTCGGCACCGCTGGTGCCACCGCTGCCCAACCCAGTACCCGTTGTGCCCGAGCCACCTGTGGCTGCGGCAGCAGGGCCGCTGCCAAGGCCGGTGGAGCCAGGCAGTAAAGGATCGCCCATTCTGTTCGCCGCTAAGCGCAGCGGGGCGGAAGCCCAACCCCACACGGCGTCTATCTATATTGATGGAAAAGTACACAAATGAGTGGAGGAGAATGGATACGCTTTTGCCTTCAACATTGCCTGCTGCCCACACGCTCGCAACACAAGTCAAAAGCCAATTTGAGATGAGCGCGTGAAAGGTAGCTAATACATTAACTTCACGACCTAATTGTAGCCAAGTTATGGTAAATATATGGTTCTTGATACAAGGGGATCACAAATTTTGTATACTTTATATATTTTTATAATTGTGTATAATTGTAAAACAAGGGAATATACAAAATATGTTACGTTAGCTACTGTGTGGGCGTGAACAAATTGTCACGCGCTCATCTCTAAATTAAATCGTAGCCTCAATACCTTTGCGTCTCTGTTATCCACGGATCCAAAGCACGTCCACGGAAACCAGGTGCAGGCGGAAATGTTCGAAAATGCAATTTTGGTGCTTGATTAATGCGACATTTGTGCTTAAGATTGGATTTGCTCGTTTTCAAGTTGCAGTTGCATATGACCAGATTTTGCACTCGCACAGATTTTTGTGCTTTGTGAAAAATCGAACAATCAAAAAAACAAAAATTTTATGACGTTTAGCTAAAGTGTGCGCGTCAGTTTACAAATGGCTGCCAGTAGTGGGCATATCATTAGCACAGCTTGCATTATTTAATAATGCATTTGAACGTATTTTAAGCACAATAAACACGAATTTTCACAATATTTTCATCAGAAGCTTCTCGTTGAGATAGATAGAGGCTGGCCTTTTAAGAGCTATCAAGTATCGTTTAAACTATCGATAGAGTTGCTGACAATTTATTATCGATAGAAAAACATTGTGATATGTATATGCCAATTTTAAATATTTAAATATTGCTGTGATTCTGATGTTAAATTTGATATATTTTGGGCAATGTGCTCTTGCTGAATATTTATTATGACTCACTATTGTATTAATGAAATACATATATATTCTGGATTATACATTTAACGCATATTTGGACACTATTGATCGCTTTTCAGCCCTGTTGCGAGCAGTGTGACCGCTTGCAGCAGGCAGTTGGCTATACATGTGAATTAACCGACAACTACGCCAAGTACACATAGTTTGGTATTTTGCTGATGCTAAGAGGTGGTCTTACGTGTGCGACTTTCATATGAGTATGTGCGACGAGGAAGCATTTTTCCAAAAATTAAAAAGCTATTAAATAGTGCAAAATAATTGATAAATTTAAGTGCAACGTATAAATAAATAAATACTAATTACGCATGCATATAAATATCAGCGAATAAGGCAAATTTAAGCAGCGAATAAGAGTGACGCAAAAACCACATACACACATACAGGCAGCCTCATTTTTTTTTTAGAAAGTACGTGAAGAAAAACAAGTTGATTGTGTGCGTACGTATGTCGAGTGGAGAGTAGTGGAGACTTTTTGTTTCTGTTTAGCGACACAATTTATTGTGGATGGCTTACAACACAAACAAAAACAACACAACAACAAAAGCAGATAATGTTGATTGCAACACAACATCAACTAGAAGAAATGCATACAACAGAAACCATCAAGTACAACAATTACATTGGAAATTGAAATTTGTGCGACAAAAGCAGCAACAGCAGCTACTAACAACGATTTTCGACGACTGGCAGCCATATTCACAGCTACAACAACAGCAAAATCAGAAAAAACGCGATCCACGGTATTGCAAAGATACGTGACAAAAATCGAGAAAAGGAAGACGAAGACTGGGCATGAAATTAGCGTGAAAAAAAATAACCAAGAAAACAAATTTTAAAAAAGCAAATACTACTGTAAAAAAACCAACAAACAAACAAAAATTTATAAACTGTACTGCATACAACTAAACGTAATTAATAACACAATAATATACGAAATATTATGGAAATTGCCCCAATATTTAATACCGCCGTCGTCGCAACAGCCGCCGCTGCCACCGCAACCACGTCGACGTCACAGCACAAGCAGCGACAGAGGCGCTCCGCTGCCGCCGCACTCTTGACAGCAACAGCAACAACAACAACAGGCGAATCATTTAATGCCGAAAGCAGCGCCAATCAAAATGATAACGGTAAATTAACGCAAGGCAATACAAACAGAACAATCAAAATTAATTGCATAAACAAACTACAATAAAACAAAAAACAAAAAATGCAATAGTTTTACATGAAAAGCTCTTGAACAAGTGCAGCGAGCAAGCGAGACGGTGATATACAATACCTCTCGCTCTATCTCTAGCAGCACTCGTATTTTTTTTTATCTATTCGCCTCAGTAGTTTTCCACGCGCGCAGTTGCAGCGAAGTCGCTTGCAACATTTGAAAAAAAAACAAGCAGGTCGCTGAACCACAAGCCGCCCGTCCGCCGTGCCGTTGCTTTTAGAGGCCAAAATACGATTAGTAACAAACAAAAAAATAGTGTTTATAATTATTATTGCGCAATTTGTAGATCATTGGCCCAGCTGTGATCGCTATACGAATACGCGCACACACACATGCACTAGCCATGATTATTCAGCATTATTTTCAAGGTGCTCTCTGCCTGAATATTTAATAACTGAAACTGCAGACGACAAGGCAGCAAGCAGCGACTGAAGGTCGACAATATCAGGTGGTGCCATACTATTAGTTAGCATTTTGGGGACTCATAAGCACTCTCGTGGTTCATGGCTATCAAAGAGATTCAATTGCCAGGTGGCTAGTTGTCAATTGGGATATATAAATAGCATTTTTTTGGGTCTCCTTTGTAGTTGCCTGTTTTCCAAACGTAGATGAATTAATTCTTAATTTGTCGATAACTGTCCAGTTTTAATGAAATTGGTATCGATTTACAGCTACGATGTTTTGACCATGTCCCATAAATATTAAGAGAAATGTAGAATGTAGGCCTTTGTTTCTCAATCACAGCTTAGCTTTTGGTAGTAATCAAGAAATAGTCTCTATTTCATCGATCGTTATGGCACTTCTCAGCGAAATGTTGCCGATAAAGAAACTGAATTGATTAACAACTCAAATGTCATTGTTTACTATGTGAAATTTAATGCAATCTATTGTATTTCAATCAGTTCGAGTCCATACTAGAGTATACATAGATAATAGCGCAATTACTGCAGATTAATCAAGTTATAGATTTACATATTTATTTAAATAGTTTTGTGAATTTCAAAGGATTATGCTAAGATTTCAAGTCTTAATATTTATCTGTTCCTCATTATGCTTAACTGTATGTTATATCATTATTACATATTTATATATACATATGAATAAATTGCCGAGCAACTTTTGTCAGTCAAATACGGTTAAAATGAACCTGACATGTGACTTGTAAATTTACAATCAACTTGATAAATATTTGTAAATATGATAACAATAATTATGCAACAAATAATTATATCTTGCAACTGATAAAAGTTGCAAAATTTGAAAATTCCAAAAACAAAATATTTTCATATTTTATATCTAAACTTTATATTTTGTGTTCTGATTAAAGTCAACAACTTGGCGTTGATCGCATCGCTGACGCTGCAAAAGGTGCTCAATATAAACAATATTAACAACAACAACAACAATAGCAATGTCCCTGGTAGCGATGGTGTGTTGTGTTATCAGCAAATGTCAGCAGTCACAAAAGCAACGGCAGCAATTAAACAACAACAACAACAACGACGACACTCTGATAACGAAGCCGAGAATGATGTATTAAATCAATTGCTAAAAACGGGCGCGGTGTTTACAACAACAACAGCAGCAGCAGCAGCAGCAACAACTGTTGCTGTCGCCGCCGCCGCCGCTGCCTCCTCCGCGTCCTCCTCCTCTACGACTATCAGTGCGCCCATTGCGATTGAGAGGACGACACAGCAAAAGCAACAACAGAATGGGAATAGTGCACAAAAGCAACGCCTTAATTCATCCATATCATCGACTAACTCAAGCACATCAACCAACTCCTCAACGGCCAATAGCTATGGCAGCTCCTGTTCCTCCACGGAGGATCCCACGGCAACGACAACGGGCAAAGCGGCGGCAATAACAACAACATTAAAGTCGTCCAGCATTAGATTGCCAGAGAAATCGAAAATTCCGTCCGATATACTCGACGATCTGGCCAGTCGGTTCATCATAAATGTGCCAGATATGGAGCTAAATAATTTAATAAGAATTTGCTTTCAAATTGAGCTGGCACATTGGTTCTACTTGGACTTTTTCTGTGCGCCCGAGGATTCGGACCAACAGCAGCAGCAACAGAAACGAAAGCTGCCCGTGGTGGGCATCAAACAGTTCGCCATGCAAATCTTTCAGGTGAGAAAATAAACACTTAATAGTTGAATAATATTTAAATAAACCAAATTTTAATGTGTATCTATGCAGCACATTCCCTTTCTGAACAAGCATTTTGGCACTGTGGATCAGATATTGGAGGAATGGAAAAACTATAAACTATCCGTGCCGACATATGGCGCTATACTTGTATCGGAGGATCTCAATCACTGTTTGCTGGTGCAATCATATTTTGCTCGAAACTCTTGGGGTTTTCCCAAGGGAAAAATAAATGAGAACGAAGATCCCGCACACTGTGCCACCAGGGAGGTATGTAGCCAAGCTCTAATGACACTTGATCGGTAAATTAATGCCCCGTAAATATGTACTCAAATGTGTAAAGCATCAAGTGTACATTTCCTATCACAATAATTGAACAGGCAAATCGATATGGTATATATAACCATGTCTGTCTGGCTGTTAGCCTTAAAACTATTTGTTTTTGTGCAGTAGACAAAGCGTAATGTCAATAGTTGCCATAGAAAAATATCGCAAATCTACCATTTTAACAACCTTGCGACGTGGTCTTTTGTTGTTTGTTGCAAATGAACTGAAAATTGTATTTATCCATTTGCTTTAGGTCTATGAGGAGACGGGCTTTGACATAACGGACATCATAGATGCAGATGATTATATTGAGGCTTATATTAATTATCAATATACACGATTGTATATAGTGCGCAATATACCGTTGGATACGCTGTTTGCACCGCGCACGCGTAATGAGATTAAGTGTTGTGACTGGTTCCGCATTGATGCATTGCCGGTCAATAAAAACGATGCCATATCGAAAGCCAAACTAGGCAAAAACTCAAATTCCTTCTTTATGATCATACCGTTTGTGAAGCGCCTTAAGAAGTGGGTGAATGATCGACGCGCCGGCATAGAACCATCAACGCGTCGGCGAAAATGCTCTGGACAGCAGAGTCCCAAGGCCATCCAAAATGGTGGAACATCCGCATCGCCCACAATGTTGACGAGCAACAGTAACAACATCAACAACAACAGTAGCTGCAAGAAGGATCAGCAACGTGGCTCGTCGCGGCGACAGCGGCACAAATCGATGGGCGATTTGGATGGCGTTAAACTAAATAATCTCAATGGCAAGGCGGGAGGCGGAGGAGGAGGAGGTGGTAACGGCGGTGGTCTTACTGCCAGCAACATATGCAATAGTAATATCAAGCGCAATAGCAATAACAATAGCAATAGCAACAACAACAACATCAACAATAACAATAACAAGCAACTAAATGTGGCTGCGGGCAGCAATACACCAACAACAGCAACAACAACGCCAGTGACAACAGCAGCTGCAGCAGTAGCAGCAACAACATCAACAACACCAGCAACCGCTGCAACGGCAACAAGCAAACGCCAATTGTTTCATAGCCAAAGCCAAAACGATGCCCAACAGCCGGCAAGCAATGAGAAGGTAAGCAATGCTAAGATTGCAGCAAATGCGCTCAAAGCTAAACCGAAGCAATTGCAGATTGTCAGCTCCTTTGATTTGATACGCAAGGAAAAGCAGCAGCAACTGAAGGCGGCCAAGGCTCAAAAGCAACAGCAACAACAGCAGCAGCAATGTTCGCGCACCAAATCGCAAAGTGATAAGCAAAGCAATCAACAGCAGCCGCTGGTAGTCAAAAGCATTTTGAACAGAAACAACACACAACAACAACAGCAGCAGCAGCAACAAACAACACCCACAACAGGCATGGATTTGATTGCCATGCTGACAGCAGCAGCCGCAGCGCAAAACACACCAAAACCGGAGCAACAGCAACAGCCACAACGTCCACGTCCTGCTTCGGTGTCGCTCAATTCGCCAATAGCAACAGTTGCTGACGCAGCCAACAACAGCAGCACAATGCCAGATGCTCAAACATTGCACAAGCTGCAACGCATGGCATCCGGCACTAATTTGCGAATTTTAAAGCGTGCGCAATCGCAGCAACCGCAGCTGCAACTACAACTGCAGCAGCAACAGCAGCAGCAACAACAGCAGCAGCAGCTGCAACTGCAGCAGCAACAAGGGCCTTTAAACTTTACGCCCAGTTTTAATTCGTGGACGAATTTCTCATTCACCAAAAATTTTATAGCAAATGTTTTTTGCTAAGTCAATTTCTATGACTTTTCCTTCTTAAATTTTCAAACATTTTGCATTTTCCAAGTTACAAGGCCAGTTTGTAGGCAGCATACATAAAAACAATAATCGTTACACGGATAAAGTTTTAGGTGTTTCCCATGGATCTCTCAATAAAAGTCTTCTAGACTTTTGGAAAGATGCATTTTTCAGCAGCAGCAACATTTTTCAACATTCATATGTATATAGCAAGCAAGGACTGTATAAAATTTTGTAATTAACATACACATACACATTTTCATACCAAAAATCGAAAAACCAAGGAGAAAGTAAAACGTGAGTCTTCCGCTCCAGCACACGTCATTTTGTAAAAAATTTTCAGGCAAAATTTTTATATACACATGAAAAAAAAAACGAAGCAAAGCATGGTAAAGAAAAGCTAGTTATGAAAAGTTGTGCAATTAGAACGCAGCCAACACTTTTTAAGTACAATACGATATGAATAATTATGTTAATATATTGGTTTTTATTTTTTTATAAGCGATAAAGTGAGCGAAGAGAACATCCTTCTAATTAGAGTTCCAGCCAAGCCGTGTGCGTGTATTTTTTAGAGTAAAGTGAAAAGAATTAAGAGAGAATGATAAACACATGAAGAGAGAGAGAAAGAGAGTAGAAAACAAAAAAGAGGATAGGTAAGAGAAGAAAGCGTAGCTTTAAATGCCCAACGCTCTGTTTTAGGCTTTGTTTTCTATACTTTTCTTAAGTATATATTCGTTCTTTGCACCTAAGCGCAATGAACCCTTTTATACAATAACAACAACATAAACAACCAGAACAAGAACAAGAAACGTGGCAAAGAGGCAAACAACTAAAATGCAACAATTTGCATGACTTTTTGGGTCGTTTTAACTACCCCGCCCCCAACACCACCACCTATAAGATACAATGCGTTGAGCATAAATACTTATAATAACGAGTGTAAATATTTAATTGTGATATAGTATTTCTTAGCACAATTGTGATCTTAACAAAACGGCTAGCTACTACGACTACTACAACTAATATTACATAAATACAAGTACATACGCATACACCTACGTACAAACGTACCGAACAAGTTTTTTATAAGAAATTTTAATATAATTCAAATGATGATGCTACAATCGAAAAACTTTCCATTGCCCCGACATACACATACACATACACAAAGAACATACATACAAACACACACACATACACACACTCATACACCTAAAACTATAATTAGCGAGGCAGCCAGCAGGGGATAGAAACCCTACAATTAACTGGGGGCAATATCAGGTAGGCATATCCAAAAAACAAAAAAAAAAATTATAAGATACAACAAATTTCGAGAACTTGTGACAACTCTGATAAATTTAACGAATTTAACAAATTAGTTTAAAATATTTGAAGCTGAAAATTATCTTTAAAATTGTTTAAGCAATGCTGCCCATAAACTGGCCTTAAAACTGATCTTTAAAAACTTCTACGTTTTTCATCTAATTTTATGATTGACTTTTAAAGCTTTTTGAAAAGCCATATTAATTTTGTATTTTGTAACACCAATCTTTAGTTTCTTTCAATCTTTCGAAATTTAATTACTTTTTTTTGATTTCTTTTTCTTTAATTTCAACAAATGAACTGCAACTTAACGTAGCTGTTCGAAGCGCTTAGCAAATATGCAATGAAATTGGCAATAACTACCTTATTTTGTTTTTCATATCAAATGTTCTTTTGTCAACATTCTTACAATTTCATTGTGCATTTGTTTTGCGCCAACAAAGAAACGAAACAAGAACAAGAAAAAATCTTTTCCAAATCAACAACCACAACAAATTGCAATGAATTATCAACTAATAAACAATAGCATCAGCAACATTCTTCAATTGAAACCAAATTTATTCAAAAACAACGTAACAGCACTATACAATTGAAATTGAAAGGATTTAAATCTTAAATTGTAACAACAATAAGTACAGTAAAAAAATAATATTTTATGTTCTGTAATGTGCAACACGGAAAGCAAAAGCTTTTACAAATACTACGAGTATATCTTCCTACATTTACATATAGTTTATGTTTCAACAATCAATAGACATAACAAATAGTTAACTTTAGTGAACGGGCTGCTGGAGAAACAGATAAAACCCATTTAAAACAAGAAACATCCAATCACAAACCGAAAACATTTAAGTTTATATTTAAGAGAAACAATCCGAAAATACTTGGGCGAACGATTACGAAACTCTTTATAATACTCGTAGTATATATGTGTCTACAAAACATCTAAAATCAAATATATTTGCCACACAACAACAAGCTCTACACTTGCCGTAGGACTAGACCCAAAATCATTTTTAAACGTACCGCCCAAGTATTCATCGAAATGGTAATTAAGATACCTTTGCTATGCATTTGATCAGTTTCTTTCAACTGTAAAACGTCCAAAAAAACAAAAAGTTAATATCAAAAAATGGCAATTTGTAGACTTTGAACTTGAACTTAAAACCGAACCAAACTAAGAAAATTTAACGCCCATTTCATTCAATCAAGAATCAAGAATAACAATATAAATTACTCGTATCATAGACGATTCCCCCCAAAATATTTTTTTTTTATTTCTTTGTGCAACCAACGATAGCAATATTTTCCAAATTCTGGCAATAAAAACTGTATTACATTTTTAATTTGTACTTCCGAGAAACCGAAAGAAATTTGTGTTTTATTTTTCGCCCGTAAAGCTGGAGAAAATTATTATAATAATTATTTAAATTTGTGTTTCTGCAGCTGCTCTGTTTTATTTTGTGGCTGAGACATACATATATAGAAATCTCTCTTAAGCGAACAAGTACAGAACAGCTTACTTCATTTATAACTATACTAATTTGGCTCAGCTTGTCCTGCTGTCATTTTATATTCAAGCTAAACTTAAGTTTGGCAAACTGTTGTTTAAGAGAACTAACACCGTATACATATAGTTATTGTTATTGCATGCTGAGGCTTATAAACTGCATTCGTCCATGTGAACTGTTCGCCGATGGCGCGACATGTTGGATTTATAGCTAAACTGCTTGCCGCAAATCTCACATGAGTAGATCCTCAGGTGCATGCGCTCGTGTGCCAATAGCTGGTAACGACATGCAAAGCGCTTTTCGCACCTGTCAAAACTGCAGGCAAATTGCTTCAGTAGCTCGGCATTGAGATTCTTTTTACTATTCAGGTGCTTTTTAATGTGCTGATTATAGGCGATTTGAAATTTAAATGTTGAGCCGCAATCGCGGCACTTAAATTCCTCTTTTCGGTGGCGATGCACCTGGTTTTCATGATTCACCATGCTGAAGTAACGATCGAATAAGCAACCACACTCCTGGCAACGAAACTCAACGGAGCTCTCGTCTGCCAGGTCTAAGGGTTTCCTTTCGTGTCCCATGACTTGCTCGTGCTGCTGCAGTAGGCTGGCGTTGTCGAAGCTAACGCCGCACTTGCGGCACACATAGTACCGCAGGTTGTGGCTCATGTTGCTGTGCGTCTGCAATTTGGCGGTGCTGCTGAACACCGTGCTGCAGTAATAGCAAATCAGTTCAGGGCACAGTCCCTCATTGCGTATCGCTTTGGCCAGAACTACGCCGTCATGTGCAATGGCGATGGCGAAGTTGTTGTCCGCTGGCGACTCATCCGCCCAATCTGTATTTTCATCCATTACATCCGGACATAGCTGCGCGTCGAGCGTTTCGTAATCTTCATCGCCGTCGATTAGCTCCAGTTCCGAATTCACATCCTCAATATCAGACTCCAGATCGTTTACACTGTTCTCATCGTGGTATTCCGTTGTTGTAATTGTAAGCGGCTGTGCAAGATCTCCGACGTTTAGTTGGTTTTGTTGGGCGTTGCTCCAGCATTGCAATCGTTCCCATATGCTGAGCACTTCAGCCATGCAGGAGTGACACGCACAGGTGCTCAACTCCTGGACATCAGCCTAAGATCAGTCGTAATGGTTATTTTAAACGTTGCTCAGACTCAACAAATAGAATAGTTCTAACCTGGATTTGAAACGATGTAAACAGATGCTGCAGTAGCTCGGTTGCATGTTTGAATTCGTCTAAGTGCTCTGTACTAACAGCTTTATTTTGCACACATAACTTACAGAGGTCCATGAATGGTATAACTTTAAGAATTTAATTACAAAATAAAAACAAAACAAATTCCAGCGCAACACAAATTGACGAGCAACTCGATTAACATGGGGAGTAATGCTGTTAAGAAAGCAGAATTCTGTTAATGTAAACGGTGTGGCAACTCCACAAAGCAAAATCGATTGTTCAGTGTTATCGGTATTATTCTGCATTTCTTTCTATTCTGCGTTTTTTCGTCGGTGTTAAGTGCATAAAATTGTTACATTTGTGCTGTAATAATATAGTTTAAGTTCAAATAGTTGCCTAACAAAATGGTACGTACAACGTGTATGCAAATTCTCCGAAAAAAACAATATGTTTTTGCTTAAACGCGGCACTCGTTTTTTGGTGACGTGAATTATGCATGTGCGTGTGCTTGTGTATAGAATCCAAAAGCGGCCGCGTCACAAATTGTATGGCTGTTATTATAATGCAGCCGCACTTCGATTTTCCAAGCATAAAACATCTCAATAATAATGCGTATTGCAATTGTTTCTCCATGTCCAGTCGTTTGCGGAAAAGTTAACGGGACTGATGGCGCGGCCAAATCAACAAGATCCAGCTGGCGGTCCAGAGCAGCCTTGGTATCTCAAATATGGCAGCCGTGTGCTGGGCATCGTTGCCGCATTCTGTAAGTAGCATATCATGTTTATCAACCAGCAACAACAACAGCAACAACAAGAACATTCGATTTAGCTATTTGCATCGATTTTTGTGTTCTGCATGTAACATTTTGTTGTAACACTGCTTATCTGCTTGCTGGTGTGAGTATCAGTGTGTATCAGTGTGTGTAACCACCCACAATACTCACAGCACGCACACTCGGTCGTTCGCTCGCTCTGCGACCTGACATTGATAAAGGCAAAAAGCACCAAGCAACAACAACAATAAGAAAATGCTATAAAGGATACAGAAATGTTTCTATGTGTCTGTGAGTGTGTGTGTGTGTATGCTCCACACATATGGCAGGGCAGCATATATTTCTCTGTCGCTTTCTATGTCAAGTTTGTTGTGCTAAGTGCATTTTCAATTTTCCTCAATGCATTTCGATTTAGTCATTAAATTGCCATCAATTTTGCATGCTTGGTAATATAATATATTTATCAGTAATTAATTGGCACTCTCTTTGTCTTAGTTTTCTCTCTCTCCCTCTCTCTCTCTCTCTCTTTCCCTCTCTCTTTGTTTTCTGTTGTTATGCATATATCCATTGTTCTTCATTTCCGCAGTTGCGATGACATTGAACCCGCTGTCTGATGGTTTTCCCTTACTGTTTAACGCGATTTTCAGCAAACAATTTTATTTAACCCGCATAAAACCCGCTTTAAGTTCAATGACACGAAGACTCTAACAACTATTTCTAGCATCAAATGGAGCTTAGTTGTAAATAGTTGAGAATCAGCTGCTAGCTGAATCATATGCCAAATGTTTCATAACAAGTAAACCTGTGAGCAATAAATAGTAAATTAATTGAAAACAACGAGTAATCTAGCCCCAAATGTCCGACTGTGTAATACCCTGTAACGATTTAGATTCCAGAGAAACATATGATGATAACTTCCATGTCATATTTTAGGAATCCAACTGTAGGGCGAAGAGACGCACATAGCTAGATCTACTCGGTTGTTCGATATTATACATACTTATTGATTGGGAGATGCCATCAGGTTTTCCTTTTACCTGGTTCCATTGAGTACAGGGTATGCAAAGCATCTAACAGACGATTTATCTCTCCGAGAGTATTTACATTTATTTTTTTTTAAGAAATTTCAGTAGTGCGGCTTCCTTAAACCGGTTGTGTAATAAAAAAAAAAAACGCTCTGCTTTTTTAATTAATACTTATAACATTTATTAATAGCCGCTCGACAGAGCACAGCATGAGTTTGTGCATGAGTTTATTAAATTCTGCACCGCAATAACCTCAAAATTGAGATCAGCTTACAAAAGAAACTGGTTCACTTTTCGATATGTGTATGGCAAACCATAAAATACTCTTAGAAGTTATGATAAGAGTGTATGGAGGCTATATAAATGCAATTGCCAGAGACTGACGCTAAAACTTAGAAACTTGCTCAATTAACACAGTCAGTTATTTGTTTACTTAGTCGCCAAAGTGTTATCATTTGCGTCCAACATTATTTAGTTGCCTGATAAACGCAAAGCAGCTGATAAAATATTAAAATGTAGAGTGCGTACAAATGTTAGAAAGATATAAGGTTTACAGCCTCCTATTTGAGTTTTGTTTATAAATTGCATTGTTGTATGCTTTCATTTCCTTACCACCAAAGTAACCGCACAAGCTGCAGCATTCATTTAACTTTTCTGTATAGATCATCAGCTTATAGAACTCACACAACAGATGTTTATTCTCCATTCATTTGCCAGATACCGCAGCGACCAATGTTCCAATTGGAACAAGTGTTTTTGTTTGTCTTGTTACGCTTCTCTGCTCTCCGTGGCGTTTTATTATTTATTTTAGTTCTATTAACTTTATAGAAATAAAAGAATAAAAGCTTGTAATAAATTTAGCAGTTGAATGAGTCATTATTCCCTTCTTGTTTTTTTTTTTTGATTAGATTACGCTTGCAATGTTATACTATATAATATTTGTCGCGAAAGCTGAGAGATAATGAGGCCAAATGTTGGAGGCGTTGTTGATGGCAATATTTAAAATTTTGAGCAGATTCTAGATGAAATGTCTTTGTTGCGAGACTCAAACGCCCCATTTTTTTTTTTGGGAATTTTATCTAGCTATAAAACGCTTTAGTTTGTTGTATTCTATTTGCCTAGGGCTTATGATAAAATATCTAGCTTTGTGCACGCACAGCAAATGTGCGACATGAATCCAATTTAAGTAGATAGCATGCATATAGACAGTCAAATAATTTAGTTTGAGCTTCATTATATGTGTATGGAAATGTTGATAAATGTTGTTACCTTTTTCACATGAATCTTCATTACCTTGAAAATCGTTGAAAATATTCTTACATATATTTTCTCTCTTCGCTAGTTGCCATACTCTTCGGCCTGTGGAATGTGCTCTCAATAATTGGATTGAGCGTCTCATGCCTTGTCGCGGGCATCATACAAATGTTAGCAGGATTCGTGGTGATGGCGCTGGAAGCGCCTTGTTGTTTTATTTGTATCGAGAAGGTCGGCTCGGTGGCGGATATGATGGACACCAAGCCATTGTATTTCCGAGCGGGCCTGTACTGCGCGTGAGTAACACATGAAATAAACTAGACCATAAACTAAATGCTAATTATTTGATCTTATCCTCACAGCATGGCGGTGCCGCCCATATTCATGTGCTTCGGCCTAGCGAGTCTCTTTGGCAGCGGCCTGATCTTTGCCACCGGCGCTGTCTACGGCATGATGGCGTTAGGCAAAAAGTGAGTAGTTCTTGGAATCATTTGTGGGCATTGACCCATACAACCAATTAGTTAGCTAGTTAGCTGTTAGTTTTGAAACGGAGCAGAGAACTAATACGGAAGGCACAAAATGCTAATCAAAAAATTGTTCTCTCTATTCCTTGAACCGCTTGCGCTGTGATTACGCTTACAATTAAAACTAATGATATCTAACATAACTTAAAAAACAATAACAACATTTATTATCTAACACAATAATAAATAAATAAATAAAAAAAATACAACAACACGAATTATAAACAAAAGAGCTTCGCGCGAGGACATGGCCGCTGCGGCCACATCGCCCACACAAATGGCTGGCGGCCAGGCAGGCGGCCAAATGCAAATGGGCGGCGATCAACATATCACACTCATGGAAGATCCCGATGTTTGGCGTCCAACATAAATGCGCTAACCAAATGCATAAACTGCCAAAAACAAAGCATATAATAAACAATTAAACACACACAGACACACGCAAAACACCCAAAAACAAAAAGAAAAAAAACACATCACACAATTAGACAAGGAAATATCATAATGAAATAATGAGTAACAAATATTTTACGATGCATAGTTTTTAGTGTTCGTTCCAATTAAAATTAATATAAATAATGATTAAAACGTTGTAGGGCCGCGCAGAGATCATAATACACAATGTTGAATACAGATTACAGAATACAGAATTACAAAACACCCCACCAATTGAAAAATATAGAAACTTTTCATAATTGTTACTAAACGAAGAACAAAAAAAAAAAAAAAAACTAAACAAACAAAAAATGTTGACAAAATGTTGCGCAAATGCATTTGCTCCATTGTTTAGTCATTTATCGTCCTTTGCATGCAGTTGCATTTTTCCATTTTTAAATGTCCTTTGTCGCACGAGGTGTTTTTCAAAAGTACAGTTAAATATACAGATATATATATATATATAAATTATATATATTAATAGTAATTAATAGTAATACATGTACAATTTATTTTTAGTGAGAAATTATATTGATAACTAAAAAAAACACGCTAAATATTGCTAACAAGCAACAGCTTCCACACGGCTAAAGTACACAAATTACCTGCAACATAAAAGATAATGTCAAGAATCGTAGAGCAATAAATACAACTCAGAGAGCATTAACTTAATATATTTGATTGCTTGAGCAAAATACCAATTTAAATGTTAAAATGTTAAACAAGATAAACAAACGTTTCTTTGTTCATTTGCTCACGAGATAATGTAACAAATATCAAATTTAGAACTCCAATTTGCAGAATTGTTCATAATTTATTCTTCTTTTTGTGATTGTAATTAAGCATGAGATATGCATCTTATAAATTAATCAATGAATTCAAAGGGTTGTACCTTTACTACTGTATTAAGCTTTAGATTCTTTTGCTAAGTAACAAAAATGTATTGTAACGATTCAAAATGTATACTGTATATTCGGCTATGGCCTTTTCTCTCATTCCAATATTCTTTTTGTTATATATGTTTAACAAGTCTGTTAATATATATATATATGTATACTTGGATATAGCCTTTAGTACTTCCAGACTTCAGTCTGCCAAATAATATTCATATATTAATACTCAGCTGTTGATAAATTATTTATCAGATAGCAACATGATACTAAATATTGTGGGCTAAGCAGTTACAGAGTTCTGAATTTATAACTTGTTTATTTATTTATAATCAAAAATATATTGTTTAATCACATACAAAATACTCGCAAACAAAACATAAAAAGCATAAACATCCTAATGGATCCATATTGGCATCCAATGTGGCTTTCTTTATATAAATGCATACTCTCTGATTACAAATCACTTTCTCGCAAGCAGCCAGAACAGAGTCCTAGCTTAATATACCTTACATATAGTTAAAATTAGTTAATTAATTAATTATGCATAACGAACGCAACACTAAAAATCATTCAAGTAAAATATTCTGTTTAAAACTTAACTGATATAACATATGTACATTATGCTAAAGAATTGTACATGCCAAACTGCCCCCGAACAGTCCAGTTAATGCCAATTTGCAGCCTGCAGCAAGTCAACTACGTAAACTTCAACAACAACAGCAAGAAGTACGCTAATGTAAAGGCAATTCATTTTTGTATAAGCAATTCTCTTAAGTATTTCGAACGATTGTAGTTTAGACATTTTTTAGTCACTTTTATTTTTGAACTTGAAGTTTTTTCTAATTGCACTTGCTTTTAATAAGTATTTATATAATTTGATAGTCCCTTTATATACTTATATATATATATAGCTGACGATTCACGTAATCGGCTACGGATTTTGAAGGTTTCAGTTTGTCATCTCTTTTTTTTTTATTTTACTACGATCGACGGTTCATCGTGGCCGGACGCGTTGTTAGCTTCATATATTTATTAACTGTGCCTGTATATTTGAGCTTTCGATTTTCATATTGTTTTGTTTGTTTTTTACTCTTTCTCTATCGTACTTATATTGTTGCAGTTTGCATGGGCTTTTCCAAGATAAGGAATATAAGTTTTATAACTGACATAACTATAGATAGTTGTGGCCTATTGTTTAAATATTTCATATTTCTCTTCATGTACTAGTCTTTTAATATTCTTTTCGATAGGTATTTTTTCTTTTTCTGGTCGATAATTCAAATTTTATTTTTGTCCTGAACCCATTCTAATTTATTCTTAGACATTTTTATTTAGCAGTGTTTGACTTTATTGGCTTTTTTCTTTCTTACTTTGCTTAGTCTGTTATTCACACTCTTCTTTCCCGCTTTCGCTCTGAATTTATCATTCACTTATAAATAAATCACAAATTAAAACGCTGTAAGCCTTACATCAATTTATGAGAATCACATAGAAGGGCGGTATTTTAAAGGGATAACTAGGGGAGAAATTATTTGTTTCTCTCCAACTCTCCTTTTAAAAACCGCGCTACTATTCTATTTTCCAAAATTTATATAACCCTTACACGGTTTTTTTTGTTAGCGATTTATTAAAAAGTAAGTGGATTGATAAAAGTTTAACTCAAATGTTAAGAGTGCGAGTGGGAGATGAGGAAAGGTGTAGCTGGAAGAGTATTTATATAGGTGTATGTGAATAAAATATGAGTTAATGCGAATGTGTGTGAAACCAATGCAGACTTGGGTATAGGGTTTTTCCTAGTCGAACACTCTCGATTAGAGCACTCGCACTTGTTTAACGTTAACAAACATAGTTGTTTAATAATTGGCCTACGCATAGCAATACTCCACAGTTCTTAAGACACACATTCTTATTAACTTTCTATTTATTTAACATACTTTCCAGTATTATGTTGTATTATAGTGCGTTCTGTTTTGGTAGGCTTGATGTGGTAGATATGCCATGTCGTTGTTTTTGTACTTTTGTCTAAATATTCGCTTTCCTAACTCATCGCAGAGCCTCCGCCGCCGAAATGCGCGCCGCGGCACAGCAAGCATCATACGGTGGCAATGCGGCGCCAACAACCAACGATCGGGCGGGCATTGTGAATAATGCGCAGCCCTTCTCCTTCACCGGTGCCGTGGGCACGGACAGCAATGTGTGATGAAATCGGTAATGGAACATTTGGATCGTGGCTGGGGTGTGCGGTGAGAAAACAAGACTCAAAACGCAACGCAACGCATTGAAGGCAAACTACAATATACAAAAAAAAAAAAAGAAGCAAAGTAAAGCAACATCACAAGGCAAATTTCTAACTAACGTGTGCAATTTATTGTTGGCGATCAATTTCCAACCGGACCGTAAATATAAAGGATCTCTCTCGGTGTAGAGCTGAAGACAATGTTTATAAAACTGAGCAGATAATGGAAACCTCAAAGAACCTCTTCAAATAAACCGTCTAATCATTGATTAAAGTTTTTGTATTAAATGTTTTGGCGTTTTCTGTTTTATATTTCTAATTGTTGCCTGTGTATCATTCCAATTCCAATTTTTGGTTTTAAAAACAAAAAAACAAAAACTTATTTAAAATTTAGTAAAAATAAAACTATAATTGACCATATTTAAATTAAATTATTGAGCGATGGCATAATTGTATGCAATTTATGTTTAGTCATAGTTTAAATATACATATAATATATTTAAATGCATAATACAAATAAATATAAATATAAATATAAATATAAATAATTAAATGTTTGTAAACCATATTAAAATTGAATTATGCATACTTTAAATTATGTTAAATAAAATTAATTATACATATATTCAGCTTTTTGCGCTCTATATCAACTTTATTGCCACTTAAATGTTGTTCAATAATTTACAAATATTTAAAGTTAAAATCCACATTCTATTGCATTTGTGGTTTGTGAAACAATTTTAGAATAAGCATAACAGTTAACGAAAATATTTAAAAATAATTTTATGTAAAATGATTTATGCATCATTCTGGGAGCTGTCGTTGTCGGACTCTGCAATTTCTTCCAATACAATCTCATCATCATCTGTATCATCATCTTGTGCCGCATCATCGCCATCTTCATCGGCTTCAATATCACCGTCCGCACCGTCTTCCTCGTCAGCCTCCTCCTGCTGATCGTTGGAGCCTTCCCAGCGGAAACGACGGTCGCTGATTTTCTCCTCGCTACTTTCGGCAGACACCGCAAAGATCACAGCAAAGAGCGCTGCATATAAAACATAAATTGAGGATTGTTTTAAATAATTAAAGAATTGCTTAACTTACCAAAGCTCATGATAAGGAACTTGTTGGATAGCATGTTAATTGAGTTGATATCTCAGAAATATTCAATGCTAATTGTTGCGCGGGCTGCCCCTTTTATAGTCAAATTTTGGCATGCGCTTTTAGCCAAAATTTGCTGTGACTAGCGCTAAAATCTATTTGGTGTCAAGCAGCTGTACAAATATTAATGCTTTATCTAAATTTATGTCATACGTTATTAGGTCAGCGTCTCATAGCTTTATTATGCTACAATTCATTGCTAATGCTTCATTTTAATTATGTTTGATTAATGAGATCTCAAGTTATTGAGTGAAATATTCAATAACATATAGCAAAACAGGATTTTTATCTGTTTTCCATTTATTATCCATAGTGGAGTGGAGCGAGTGGAGTTTTCCATGTCCCCGTCTTGGCTTTCATATACATCACATAAGTTCAACAAATTCAGCTTCCTAGCTTCCACTTACTTCGTATTGGCTTCGTATTGATCGATAGATTCCTTGTTTAATTGCTCAAGGAACAATTTGATCATAGTTGCGTTCGCTTTTTCTCTGCGTATGTCTACGTTATCTTTTCTGTAATATCATAATATCTATCTCAACGGAACAAAAGTACAAAATATCTATATCTATGTATTTAATAGTACGATTCTGCTTTAGGGAAACCTTTTCTTATCCGAACCGGAGAATGTACGACTTTAAAGCATATCTTTAGGCTACGCAGGGTGTTTTTTTAAAATTCGACTAGAGCAAGACATATAGTGCATACTTTCGAGGATTACTAAAAAGTGTATTTTATTTGTTTCGCCTAAAATATGTCCATTATAAATTTGCGAATATGTGAATCCCTTGGTAATCCGAGGCGTGAGTTCGTTGTTGGCGTTACAAAAACTATATTATGTTGTATGTACACTTGTGTAAATTAGTGGTTTTTTCTTCGCTCTTATTCTAATTTGTCTCCTCACAGGCATCAATCCAGTCGTTATAGACGTCGACTGGTTCCGAAAGGGATATGATTGCCGTTTGATAGGATTCCTGACACACGCGACATATAATGCGACCTACCTTCTTCAATTTGTCCCTAATTAGGCAGATAATCATTAGATATAGGATTTTGGGCGTGTCCACCAGATAACACTTACAATATGACATCGCAGGAACGCTCGTGATTACAAAAAGGACAATTAAACTGCTTTTCCAGACTCTGGATGTTTTTACGCTTTGGCGGCGGCTTGCGCTTGGACTTGCGACGTCCCATGCTTAATTCTCAGTAATCTAACGGAGAAACTGGGGATATAGCACATTTTTTGGGATAATACGTACAAAATAAGAGTAAAAACTTACAATACTCGGCCTTTTCCCTAGTTCGCTAAGTCTCAGTAATCTGACGGAGAAACTGTGGATATTAACACATTTTTGGAAAAATACGTTTGAAATAGAGTAAAAACTTACAATACTTTGCCTTATCCGTTGTTCCTTGGCTCACGTTCAGCTGAGAACTAAATTTTTGGTAAATTCTCTCATGTTGCTAAGGGGCCTTATTTTCTTTTTAGTGACAGAAATATCAAGGAGTGCTTTGCTTTCCATTTTCTATTCAAGAAATACTATTTAAAATTTGAGACTGATATTTCAACGCTTACTTCTTTTTATACCTTTAAAAAGAATGTTCTTAAGTACTTTGTCTTGTGTTTCTATAAAAGAAATATACGATTTCTTTAATGTCAATTTGCCTTGAATTTTGTATTAAAGAATGATATACAATTTTTATAAGCCTTTCTCCTTGTTTAATACTTGTAGAGAATACTTTAATGTGACTGAAATGTTAAGGTACATACATTTTGAATTTTCTTTTAAAGAAAGCGTAGTCTGGTTTTTCCTTCATCCTTTTTATGCTCTTGTGGGTTTTTATTTTAAAATGTGTTACGCGTGCTTTCTATTACGCTCCGTGGCAATTTCATAACCGGGCGGATCAAACTACATAAATCGTATAAACATGCCTTATTAAGTTAGACTTAAGTTATAGAAAATATCAGTTGGAAACGGAGATTTCCTATAAAAGAAAGGTAAATGCTTGCAAGTATTTTAAATTTCCGAATAATGTCCGTTTTATAACCTTGTAGAGGGTTTTATATTTTAGTCATTAAATGCGTATATCATAAAAGGAGACATCTCCATTCTAGATCGGAATCAACAGCCGAATTTATAAAGCCATTTCCGTCCGCCCGTATGTCCGTCGCTCCGTCTGTTAGTCCGTCCGTTTGTTCGTCTGCCTGTCTTTCTGGATCTATGTGAAATAGTCTCATATCTTGGTTTGTTTTTCTGTAACAGACAGTACATGTCGAAACCAATATATCATATAGCTGCCATAGAAAAGATCGGTCAAAAGTAGGTTCTTGTATGTAAAAAATCGTTGTTTATATATGTATATCTTGACCAAACGCAACATTTATCAGTTTGACTATGGTCCTCGTAGATATATCATTGTCTGCCATAAAAACGATCGGACGAAAAGTTATTTTAATCAAATATCTGCAATGATCAAATGTCTGCAAGGGTATTAAATCTTCGGCGTGCCGAAGATATTCCCACTTTCTCGCTTGGAAGTAAATTCAAATGTTTACCAAATTTCTTGTGCCTGCCTCTATTACAAATTTGTTTGATATTGAAACCACACGAATACTCAATTGATTGTGCCCACATCTGTTAAGGATCTGGGCAGATGCCTCTTATCTAATGCTTTTGTTTGGGTTTGGGTTTTGCTTTTTATTTTTTATTTTATATTATTCAATGTAGCATAAAATCGCTTGTCCATTGTGAAAGATACTCAACTGATCACGTGAAGGTATCGATTACGGGCTGCGCAATTTGGTTGAGGGGAAAGATATGTTTAGATCTGTGTTGATATCGTTGCATGTGGGTCAAGTGTTTGGTTTTGGATGCAGGACTTATGGATCGCTGGCAAAGGCTTTCCCACAGTTGCGTTTGAAGCCAGCGAATGCCGACATTTTTCTGGCTAAAGCGCCGTAGAACTGAACAAAACACTCAAACTCTGACGACAGCTCAATACGCAGCACGATGCTCAGACAACCTGCTGTTTAACATATTAGCACCAGGACATCCCAGGGCAACGGGTGGTGTTTCACAGGACAGCTGAAAGTGTCAACAGTCGGCGGCGGCGGCGATGGCAAAGCAAAAAGTGAGTTGTAAACAGTTTGTGCCTGGCATGAAATTGCTAACAAAATAGTTTGCCAAAAAGTTGACACTGGCAGCAGGCGGCAGCCAGGACGCAATGGAAGCGTTTCACAGCACAACAGGATATATTGGATATGCAGCTGTGCAGCACATTTATTGCATTCGCCACGCTTTTCAAGGCAAAAAAAAAAAAACAGCAAAATTAACGCAACGATTTCAAATTATTCGCTAAATGGGTTTAAAATTTCATCAGGCTAGTTGATCGAGCTGCTTCCTGGCCAGCCTAAGACGCTGCTTCCGCCTTCCGACTTTCATCCATTGCAGCCTTCTTTTGTTGGTCTTTCGGGCCACATCATTTCTATTAATCTCCCTGTCCAGCATTTTTGCCAGCTGCTGCTGCTGCCGTTGGCCATTTGCCTTTTGTGGTTCCTTGGCCAGTTGACCGGTTGCCGTTGGCCAAGTGCTCGCTTGGCTTTTGTTTGGCCTACTTCAATGCCCTGCCGACGCGTCCTTAAATGCATTCGATGCTCCTTTTTTTTCTTTTATTTTTTTTTGCTACGTTCTTGTTACTTTTCTGCTGCTTTGTGTGTTCATTTGCTTAAATGCCTCTTATCCTGTTAAAGTGTGCGCCTTCTGTTCAGTGTCCCTTCGCAGAAAATTGATCTTTTTTGCAAATTTCCTGCAGTAGCCCGGTTTTTGTCTTCGTTAACGTGCTTTCGAGCGCATCTTAATTGAGTTTTTCTTTCTTCATATCTGCAGATAATGTTAGTGTAATGCAAGACCTAAGTTCCGCTTGCTTTTCAGCGATTGTTCATTTCTTTTAATGCTCTAAAAGGACTTAGATTTTTCAAGCATGTTTGCCCAAATAAATGAAAAACCTTTGTTAGATTTACCCAAAGCTATTAAATGAATAACTAAGCCCGTTGAAATTGTTGCGTTTTTTTTATGGCTAATAACTTTTTATCAGCAGTTTAATTTTATTGAATACCCCTATTTATCAATAATAAACCTCAACAGTTATTTGATAATTGTAAGCTTCATATAAACACCATCAAAACAAAACAAAAAAACTTTATTAACAATACACAATCTCATAAAGAGGCCACACCTGAGGGATTTCTCCATCCAAAGGCAGAACCAATTGGAAAAAAAGCTTTTTTAAGCATAAAAATTGTTGTTCTTTCTGCCCAATTAGTTGCTTTAAATACCATAAAATTATTATGTTGAATATTTTTGTGGACCGATTGGATTTTTATATTCAATGCCCATATCGTGCTGCCCCTTCGCCCATCCGTTCCTCTGCTCATCACTTGAATTTCACTCAAAGCAATATTTCATCAAAAATGCGATGCGCCAAGGCGCCCCAAACATAATTATTAATTAAAATTCCCAAATCAAAATCAAATTACCACTAAAAAAAGAAAGATGCATAAATTTTTGTAAAATGACAACCATACACACAACACACACACAAAGCACACTCAGCTGCAGTCTGCCGGGGTTGGGGAATGGGATGCCTGTCGCCAGCGCCTTCCGCTTTGCCTTGGAGCAACTTCCAAGAATTTTGAAACTGGAAAATGCTATTCGGAAAATGCATATTATATGAAAATTAAATTATGCATAATTATAATTTTTTTTGTTGCTGGCATTTAAACAAAACTAGCGTGGCGAGCAGGCAGAAAGGGCAGGCCCATAAAACTGTCATAAGGCGGTAAAAATGTGAGGAGCTAAACTAGATATGGGGAATACTTAACAAGTTTTTCATTTTCATTTTGTTGCGACACGTGTGCCTACAAAATCTGTTAGAGTATGGGGGCAAAACACTATACAACAAGGTTTTCAGAATTATAAAAAAATTTTAAGAACATTTCTTGTGTAATAAACTAAAATCTGCTCTAGTAAAAATCAGAAAACATAGAAACTGATCATGTATCATATAATATATACTCCAAATAAACCAATTAAAATATATTCTTCTATATTATAATTCCTAGAATTCCGTTTACATAGTTATGTAGAAATAGCCACAAATATTTTGGAATATATTTATCTTAGGGTTATCTTATTTAGTTTTGCTTAGCATATTTTTTCCATAAGACTGCGTAGTCCTCTTCTTTCACACTGTCAGCCCATATATTCCCATTTAAAGTCTAAGTCCTCTATTAAAGGCAATTCGTATTCATATAGTGCTCAACTTTGTTGCACAGTGTAATAATATTTCCATAAAACCAATGAACGCGCTGAGGGCCAAAATGTTTTTGTGCTCAATTAGCGTATAACATTGTCACAACCTTCTGGCAGCCCCCCAAGGCCCCGTGTTCGACAACATCAACAGGTAAAAAGCTGATTTGGTATGCGAAGGAGTGAGCAGGGCTGAAGGGAGCAGGAGCTGCCACATTGCATAATCGTTAAAATGGATAAAACCCCTTTTTCTCTAATGCTCATTTTCATGCGTTTTCCCGGAAAATTATGGCCACAAAGTGCTCGGGCATAGTTTTCCATATTTTTCCCTGGGCTTACGCGTGGCCGCGATTTAAATTATGACAACGTGGAGCCCAGCTAGAACCGACTCGACTCGCCTGGGTGCCTGGCTTCCTGGCGCCAGACCCGCTGGTGGCCTCTTGCATTTGGATTGGGTTTGGGATTTTGTTTGTCTGCTTAACGATTTAAATAATGTCTGGGCACAGGAAGGATAACAAACGCTATGGCGCTTCCCTGGAACTATAAATTTTTAATTCGAGCTTGTAGCAGAGCATAATAATGGGCAGGTGGCAGGGGCAACTACTAAGTAGAAGCTGGAGTGCTACCGGTAGCTGCAGCGGCAGCAGCAGCTGCAAATTGGGACAGACTAATCTTATCAAATATTGACAATAACCCAATTAGTAACCACCTACAGCAAAGAAACGTTGCTGAAGACAAACAAACATTGCGCAAAAGGTTTCATCCTCATCTTTTATTTCTTTAGAAATGCTACTAGGGAAGCTGTCAGCCCGACTGAGAATGGTACTGCGAGTAAGACATCAAGGAGGCAAAGTCGCAGGACAAATATCAAACGCAGCTGCCGTCAGGACAATGCGGATAAGTCAAATCGCAAGATGCTCGCGTCAACCATAAAACTAGCCAGAAAGATAAAACGCACGCCGGACCCAAAATCCGAGAGCTCGCACCAGGACCGCCCCTGGCGAACGCTACGAGTTTTGGTACACGCCAGGCAGCCTCTAATTTGTGAAACTTGCCTACAGTTTAGAAAGCGACGGGCAGTCGTCGTCCGTCCGCATTGGTAAGTCCCTCAACGAACCCCTAAACAAAAGAGCAACCTCCTACTTGCCATGACATTTGA